CATTCCTCAGTTGGTGGCACTGTTTGGGGGGAGGTTAAGAGGTGTGACCTTCTGGAGGAAGTACATCACTAGAGGTGGCTCTAAGAGTGTGAAGATGGAGGTTTGTGCCCCAAATAAGCACACGGAGACATATTAATTTTAAAGTGTTAGCCAATGGCTACGGCTCCTTCTTAATTACTAGCTCTCTCTTAATTATTAACACATAACTACTAATCTTTTTTAAGATTTATTTATTTATTATGTATACAGTGTCTTGCCTGTATGTATGCCTGCAGGCCAGAAGAGGGCACCAGATCTCATTACAGATGGTTGTGAGCCACCATGTGGGTGCTGGGAATTGAACTCAGGATCTCTGAAAGAGCAGCCAGTGCTCTAAACCTCTGAGCCATCTCTCTATGTATTCCTACATGGCCCTGTCTTACCAGAGAACACCTGCCTTGAACTCACCTGCCCAGTCTCTACATGGTGTCTCCTGGCAGCAGTTCTCTCTCCTTTTCCCCAGCATTCCCCTGATCTCCTCGCCCACTTAACTTCCTGCCTCTACTTCGCAGAAGAACATCTCCCATCAGTGGTGGTACACACCTTTAATCCCAGCACTGGGAAGCAGAGGCAGGTGGATCTCTGTGAGTTTGAGGCCAGTCTGGTCTTCAGAGCGAGTTCCAGGACAGCCTGGGCTACACAGAGTAACCCTGTCTCAATTCCCCTCCCCCAAAAAGAGTTCATAGCCTCATCATACGTCAGGTTTGCTCTCTGTGCTTCATGTTCACAGTCAAGATGTGATCTCTCAGCTTCCGGCTCCTGCTGCTGCACCCGCTGCTTGTGTTATGACCCCCACTCTTACCCCTCTGGAACTGTGTCTTAGTTAGGGCTCCTATCGATGTGAAGAAACACCATGATCACAGCAACCCCTATAAAGGAAAACAGTCAATTTGGTGTCTTACATTTTCAGAGGTCCAGTCCATTATCATCATGGTGTGACATGGTGGCCTGCGGGCAGATGTGGTGCTGGAGAAGATTGGAGGAGAGCTTTGAGCTTTCAACAACCCGTGCTAGCCCAGTCTCTCTCTCTCTCTCTCTCTCTCTCTCTCTCTCTCTCTCTCTCTCTCTCTCTCTCTCTCTCTCTCTCTCTCTATGTGTGTGTCTGTCTGCCTGTCTGCCTGTCGCTCTGCATCTCTGTGTGTTTCTCTTTGTCCTTTTCTATATTTCTTTCTCTCAAACACACAAAACAATGTTTCCAATTTATTTTTAAATTACACCATTTGTTTGTTTGTTTGTGTGGGCGTTGTGTATGGCATGGAACCTGAGTGTGAGGTTCAGTAGACAACTTGTAGGAGTTGGTTCTTTCCACCGTACAAGCCCCACGGATCACCCCAGATTATCATCTGACCGGGTAGCAAGTACCTTTACCTGCAGAGTCGCTTTGCCAGTCCCCAAACTCCTTAGCATCTTATCTTCTGTTCTGATTGGCTTTCTGCTGCTGTGATGAACACAGCGACCAAAAACAACCTGAGGAGGAAAGCATCTGTTTCAGCTTACACTTCCGGGTCACAGTCCATCCCCGAAGTCCTGATTGAGAGTCATCCCCAGCTTGTGCTCAGCCAGCTTTCTCATACAGTCCCCCTGCCTAGGAGTGGGACCGCCCACAGTGGGCTGGGCCCTCCCATATCAATCATCTACCAAAACAGTCTTTCACAGACACGGCCGCAGGCCAGTCTGAGCTGGGCAATCCTCAAATACAACCCCCTCAGTTGATTCTAGGCTATGCCAAGCCCACAGCAGATGCTCATTAGGCATGTCCCTTCATTCCTGTGCAGACCTGGACGATCAGAGCTGGGGCCCTCATCAGGCTCTGTACTAGTACTTTCTTGTTGAGATTGACAGCCTACACGTAGCGACATGTAGACTTACTAATTATGAAAGCTCGGCCTTAGCTTAGGCTTGTTCCTAACCAATTCTTATAACTCAAATTCAGACATATTTTTAATCTAAGTTCTTTCACGAGGCTCACTACCTCATCCCCATACTGTCCTCCAAGTCTGGCTGGAGACTTTGCCTTTCTTCTCCCAGAATTTTCTCTCTGCCCAGAAGTCCTGTATATACCTCCTTGCCTACCTATTGGCCATTAAGCTTTTTATTACACTTATTAAAGCAATATATCTTCACACTGTGTACAAATATCACACCACAAGACTCTTTCCTCTCCTGCACCCCAGGAACCCCAAGGAAAGCCTTCCTGTTCCACAGACCTGATGTGACGTAGCTTGTCCTCTTGGCCAGTCACCTTGGTCCCCACTGTCTCCTCTCACCATTGGTCTCTTGCAACATGTAGTCTTTCCCACCAACCTGGCCCCAGAGCCTCGACAGTCCCAAATGAACACAAAGGACGCTATGTCAATTATGAAGCTGTTGGCCATTTGCTTGGTTTTTTATCGGCTAGCTCTGACTTAATTATTAACCCATAACTGCTAATCTGAGTATTTCCACGTGGTCTTCTCTTACTGGAGAAAGGGTCCGGACCTCTTACTCCTCTGGTGTCCTACATTGTAGGACACCATATATACAGAAGGACTTCCCCCATCAGTCTCTTCTTGGCAATTTGTAACCCAGCCCTCAAGAGGTAGTCTTCCCACTCCAGCTTGTCCCTAAAATCATTAAATCCCCCTCCTCCACCAGGGCCCATTCCCAAGGGACTTTACTACAAAAAGGTTGGTTCTCAAAGGGGCAGGAGACTGTGGGTCCAGTCATAACTGGGAAGCAGCCAGCATTCCACAAAAGAGTGCTAGTCCACCCTTCCATATACAGTCAAGACAGAGGGGACTGTGGTACCTGTGATGCTCAGTTGGTTTTGGAGTTTTTTTGTTTGGTTTTGTGGGTTTGGGTTTGTATTTGTTGTTGTTGTCTGTTTGTTTCTGTCAACTTGACACAAAGTAGGGTCATGAGAAGAAACCTCAGTGAGAAAATAACTCCATCAGATCATCCTGAAGAACAATTTCTTCATGAATAGTTGGTATGAGAGGGACCAGCTCACTGTGAGCAGTGTTGCTCCGGGATGGCAAGATGACCCTGGGTTCTACAAGAAAGCAGCTGAGCAAGGCATGGAGAGCGAGCCAATGAGCAGCACCCCCATGGCCTCTGTCAGATCCTGTCTCCAGTTCCTGGCCTGTGTGAGTTCCTGCCTTGGCTTTCTTCAGTGATGGACTGTAATCTGTCCTTTCCTTCATGAGGTGCTCTTAGCCGTGGTGTTATCGTAGCATAGAAAACAAAGTAGGACAGTACCGGGGCTGGTCACATGATCGACCTGGAAGAGCCCCAGAGAAGACACGGCCATGGCTGAGGTGCCAAGCTACACAGAGGAACCCTATCTTGGGAAAGGAAGGAAGGAAGGGAGGGAGGGAGGGAGGGAGGGAGGGAGGGAGGAAGGAAGGAAGGAAGGTAGATGAAACACTAATCCATATATCAGAGTCCATTCTATCTAAAACACCAATCCCAGAGTTGATGGAGAAGTACAGTGTAACTTACTACATTCTCAGGTGAGGTGGATGGGTTTGATCCCCTTGGTCTGCAGTAGATAATGGGGCCAGGAAAATATGCTACAGGGCAGGATCCTTTATCATGTGCACACTAAATCTAGCCCAAATAGACTTCTCCCATCATCTCTGGAGCCCAGCCAGAAGGAGAAAACTTAGACACACAGCTTCGTTATCAAGAAGTCCATCTTTGTTTCCGTGGATACTGCTGTCCAGGACTGCTCTTGGAGGTGGAGTAAGAGCTAGGGGAGGAGTTTCAGTCTTCACTGCCCCAATCTAAAGTCCTGTAGGACTGCCGGCCTCTGGCCTCTCTAACGTACTGTAAAGAGCCCCCTTTGTTATCATTACTTTTTCCTCCGTGCATGTGTGTGTGAGTGGGGCAGGCACGCCTGTGTGGAGGCTGGAGGACAGCCTCAGCATCCGCACTTGCTTCTGTTTTCCTTGAGATAGCATCTCTTGTTGCTCATTGCTGCATCCACAGAGTAGCTGGACCACCAGGTCCAGAGATCCTTCTGTCTCTGCCTCTCAGCCACCCACAGGAGTGTTGGGATCACAGACACTGGACCTGCACATCCAGCCAGCTTCACTAAGGTTCTGGGGGTTCAAATGCAGGTCTTCATGCTTGCTTGAAAACACTCAACCCACTGAGCCATCTCCATTCCAATTTCCCCCTACTTTTTATAGATTCTTCACCCAAGGTTCAAGTTTAAGACTGCCTGGGTGCCGGGCAGTGGTGGTGCATACCTTTAATCCTGCCACCCGGGAAGCAGAGTGGATCTCTGTAAGTTCAAGGCAGGCAGCTCTCTGTGGATGGATCTCTGTGAGTTTGAGGCCAGCCTGGTCTACAGAGCAAATCCCAGGACAGGCTCCAAAGCTACACAGAGAAACCTTGTCTCAACACCCACCCCCCCCTTAAAAAAAGAAAAAAAAAAAACAATTGCCAGGGCTTCGCACCTCAGCAGCCCTGCCGAGAGGCGACTGTTCCAAGGACACTGTTCAGCCTGGGGGTTGTCGGGGGAGAATAGGCACAGAAAAGGAACATCAAGCTCCTTGCATTTCCCCCAGCCAGAATCAAGCCAGGGAGACATTGCTGAAGGAACACTCTGATTTGTCCCCTGGCTTATCCCATTCTTTTCCTCAGGATAAATCTTCTTGTAATGGAGTTATTAAGGCAGAAGACACGTACTGGGGGGGGGGGGGGGGGGTGATATGTGCCGATTACCGCCTGATAAAACTATTTCGGTTTTGCCGTTCCCACCTCTCAGTGCACTGACTGATACACCACCAGGGGCCTTGGGATGAATCAGTCACCAGACCAGATAAACAAGCCCTTCTGCTGCGGGTGCCTCCTCTGCACCCAAGAGGGGAACCTCCCTTGGATCTCACCCAGGCCCTGGAATTCCTGAGCACCAGGCTAGGCACCTTTGTACCCCTGCCCCCGCGGGCCTAGAGCTTACTCCACTCTCCCCGCCCTATGCCGGGCGGAGCCAGCTGCCAAAGCCGCAAGACTTCACCCAGAGCCCAGCCTCCTTGCAGGGTCCAGAGCCAAGGCCCAAAGGGGACCTTGGCAGGACCCAATGAAGACACTACTGACCTTCCTAGCTGTGGGATCCCTAGCCGGTGAGTGCTCCCTAACCTGCCCTCAACTCCCCCTACCCCAACAGCCAAGGAGCACATTTGCCTCCTCGTGCCCCAAGAGCCTCATAACATCCAGTTTCATTTTCTTCCTTGCTGGCAGTGGACTGGGTGCCGGGTTTTCCTGGAGACAGAGATAGATGGTCTACTCTAGGTAACTGGAGGGGACGATAGAGTACCCTAGACCCTGGCTTCCCGAAGGGACTCAACTGACCTTCAAGTATGCAGGCTGTCTGAACTGGGGGTGCTGAGTTCCCACCCCCCAGTAGGTAAAGTCTTGGCCTAGGGGGTGGGTACCACTTCATGTTCAGCTTCTCACCAAGGAGGAGGCGACAGACTAGACAGAGCAGGAGTTAGGCCACTGCCTCTGTCCACGGCTCCTGAAGCCACTCTGGCTGAACCAATAACCAAGAGAGGCCAGATGGGCTGCAGTCACATGCCGGGGTGCCCATATAAATAAGACTAAGGACTATCACTGCAAAGTCCAAAAAGGGAATTTTGGGATTCATACCCATGAGAACTTCAGATGAGATGGGGGCTCTGGTCTGTTCTCCTGAAATGGAATCCAGGGATTCTCTCTCAGAAGTCAGAGTTCAGGCATGATGGAAGGAAGTGGTCCTGCCGTCTCGTGGACCTTCTTGCCTGGTGTAGAATCCGGTCCCTAAGAGACAAATCTGCTCTGGATCCTCTCTCCAAACAGTACAGGCAGGCCCTCACAATCCTGCCTGTGGTGGGCTGTGGAGATTAGAGGCACCACCCCTCCCCCCAATTCTCCAAAGTGTGTTCTCTTATGTCCCACAAGCTGTGGTGTGGAGCTGTGGATCTCCTGACACTTTAGGGGGTTGGAGGCACAGAAAGGAGTCCTGAGGTGACAGGTCCCCAACACTGGCCTCAGACGCTCCCACACCAGCCCTCAGGCTGGCTCCAGGTCACTGGGGACATCAGTTTTTTCCTTAGCTCCCGCACCAGCTGATACATTGTTTTTCCACACAAATGTGAAAGACAGGTTGTCTTTTATAAAGTGACCAGACAGCCAGACTCCCCACCATACATCTCCTCCTTTCCCCGGGTTTCACAATGTAGACTTTCAACCAGGAAGTGCGGGAATGACCCAGGCGGGAGGGGGAGGGCAGATGGGCTTAAAGAGGGGGGAAAGAGGAGAGTGAAGCCTCGCTGGCCCCTAAGTGAGGAGGGGCTCTGCCGAGACCACCTAGCCCTTGTCAGAAAGAACATGTTGCCTGCTCCCCTTCAGTTCTTATATCCGGGGTGCTCCCAGCTGGTCCCCAGTAGCAGCCTACACTGCAGCAGAGTCTAAGCTACCAGGAGGAAAGGTTAAGCTCGCCCAGACAGACCCCAGCCTTCTCTCAAATCTACTCTGTCTCTCTCTTCTGCACGGGGCTCACCCCATGTCCCCCCAGAAGCCACTGCTTAAGTCTGTGTTCCTTCTGTTGGTCTCTGCACCCAGCCTCAGACCCCACCTCAACAGAGAACTCTAGCCTCAAATCTGCCCAGCCCAGGATCCAAGCAGATTGTTAGTCACATCTCAGCAGCCCCGCCGCCACACTCCAACACTGTCCCCAAGGACCCACTGTGTGCACTGTGGGGAAGCCTGGAAAACAAAGGTGACCACAGCTGCTGCCCCAGACTGACCCAGATTCAGGGATGTGTAACCAGGGCACCTGTAGTAACAGGGATGGGCTGCTCTGATGTCTGCCCACCCTCACCCCAGCAACGTACAGGTCCCTCTTGAAAGAACCTTGTAGACTTGGACTGTAGGAATAGTAACTCTCCCCTCTCATGGCTGTGGGGGAGGGAGGCACAGACACATCAAAGACATCTGTCCTCAAGGCCTCCACTGAGAGCTCGGCACCTGTCCGTTTCCCACCCTCGCCAACCAGGCTACTCTGAGTATGTACAGAGCCAGAGCAGCTCTGCTGTCCCTTCTTCATCACCACAGGTGGGGTCTGGACTGAGGGGAGGGTGCTGTAAGCCATAGGCCCTTCACTAACAAGGACATTGCTTCAGAGGCAAGCCCCTCCGTGGTCACCCTGGGACCCAAGCCTGTCCGGCCTTTGCCTTGTCTAAAGCTGAGCAAACTGCCTGAGCTATAGAGACGATGGACGGCAGGCAGGTTTCGTTCCAGTTTGGGGCTGGGGTTTGGGGGACTAGGGGCTGAAGCCAGGCCCTTGTGCCTCTTAAGCCCTCCTCTGTCTCTCAGCCACACCCCCAGCCTCTGCCGCAAATTCCTTAGTCTGCCTTCTGTCCTTCTCTCTCCTCCCATCTTCCTTGAACTGGTCCCCTACCAGGACTCAGATCATTGACACCCCACTTAGCGGAGATGGAGGAGGACGTTCCTTCCCACAGGCACTCCTGTTCTTCCAGCCCCTCCCTTACTCTCAGGACAGGCAGGTCCTATGAAGTGCTGGTCACCTTCACAGACCTTGCCCCTCTGCTCAGTGAGCAGTCCACGTAGCCCTGGGACCCTGTCAAATGCTGGCGGTGGCACTGGTCAATAGCCCTGGATGAGCCTCAGTGTTTCTCATTCATGAAATGGGAACAGCAGCAATCACTACCTCACAGGGTGAGTGTTCAGGGAGTGGAGAGGCTTTGGGCCGGTGGCTAGCCGCTGACATACCCTTCCCAAGCATCAGCTGCTGCTGTTGTCATCATTATCTGTTGCTAAGTAAGTCAGATTGCCCCCATTCTAGACTGAAGGAAACAAGATCAAACGTTTAAACAATTTCCCCCATGATGACCTTGTCCATATGTGAGCATTCTGCCCCCTACAAGGCCTCGTTGTAGACGGTGTCTTTGCAGTCCATGGAGGCAGCATGGCGAGTAGGTGGGGACTGACATGGAAGGAATTCACAATACCTTCTCTACCACTGTGTGGAAGGATTGACTTCAAACACGTGCCGTCTTTAGGCTTCTACCGGGAGAACTCTAAAATCAGATTAAGAATGCCAACCTCAGCGTTAAAAAGTGAATGAGGCCGGGCAGTGGTGGCACACACCTTTAATCCCAGCACTCAGGAGGCAGAGGCAGGTGGATCTCTGTGAGTTTGAGGACAACCTGGTCTACAGAGTTAATTCCAGGACAGCCAGGGCTACACAGAGAAACCCTGTCTCAAAAAAATAAAACAAAAAAAAAGTGAATGAGCAGTAAGTATTCACAAGGGTATAAAGAAGCCTGACAGCTCAGTTACTGCTGGGAGTGGGGGTAGAATTTAATGCACTGTAGACACCTTAGGAAACCCCTTGGTAATTCCCTCAAAAGTTAAGAATAAAGAAGGCCAAGGCTCAGTGGCAGAATGCTCCCTTTAATATAAAAGCCCAGACTCTGGGTTCCATCCTCAGCACTGTGGTAGATAAATGGATGGATAGATAGATAGATAGATAGATAGATAGATAGATAGATAGATAGATAGATAGACAGACAGACAGACAGACAGAGTTATAGCACTACCAAGATGTATACCCAAGAGAATTATATATGAAATTGTACTAGATGCATACCCAAGGGAATTGGAAACATGTCCAGTTTTTTTTTTTGCGCAAATGGTCACATCAACATTATTCAAAATAGTAAAAAAAATTAAAGGCTGGAAATCCAAATGTCCATCAACTGATGATAGATAAACAAAATGTGGTATATCCATACAGTGGAATATTATCCAGTCATAAAAATAAATACTGATGCATGCTGGGGATGAAACTTGACAACCTGCTGAGTGAAAAAGCCAGACCTGGGGAAAAGCCAGGGTGTAAAGTAAATGAAAATCCAGAATTGGAAAATCCTAAGAGATTTGTGATTGCCAAGAACTGGGGTGGTGGGGAGATGGGCTGTGACCACCAAATATGGAGTTTCTTTTGTGGATAATGAAAATGTTCTAGAGTTAGGTAGTCATGATATCTACACAGGGGTGGGGATGGTCTCAGAAGACATTGACCCGAACACTTAAATGGAGGGTAAACCATAGCTCACCAAGCAGGGAGGAATGGGTGGGAGCAGGAAGCAGCACTGGAGAATGAGGGCCCCCTCTTTTTGAAGGTGGGGTCCTCAGTCTGCAAACCCACAGGCTCTCCCTGCTCCTGCCTCCTGCAGCTCAAACTACTGTGGACAAAGCTAGCCTCCTTCAATACGTGAAATTCCAGTCCAGGAACTTTGAAAACATCTTGATATGGGGCGGTGGACCAGACAGCACCCCGGACACGGTCTACAGCGTGGAGTATAAGAGGCAGGTATCTCGTCCGACCCGACCCCCTCCTGACTCTGCATTCACAAGGCCCGGGTCCCTTCTTGGTCCTGCTATTTCAACATGTGGCAAGTCGCTCCCTGTCTCTGAGCCTCTGTCTCCTCATCTGTTAGCTCGGGCTCACGGCACTTGTGAAAGAGTTGGGTAGCAAGGAGCACAGGATAAGGACTCAAGCTGGCAGAGTTCTGTCTAGTCATCATATGCCCACCTCAAACCCTTGGTCGCAGTTTTCTCCTCAGAGTGCAGCTTCCTCCCTTAAGAACAACATACACCCCTACCTATAAGGACTATTGTGAGAGCTGACCTTAGTGTCCACACAGATAACCTCTATGAGTAAACACTAGATGCCCTTATCATCATTTATAAACCACGGGCCTAGTAGAACTGTTAATTCACTCTGTGCCCTGTCTGCCCTTACCTACAGGTACGGAGACAAAGTGTGGCTGGCCAAGGCAGGCTGCCAGCGGACCACCCAGAAGTCCTGCAACCTGACTATGGAGACGGGCAACCTCACCGAACTTTACTATGCCAAGGTCACAGCTGTCGGCCCAGGAAGGAAACAAGACTTGAAGGAAACTGAGCGTTTCAGCTCACTGCAACACAGTGAGGCGGGGTGCCTGCTCACTTCGGGAAGGGGAGAGGCACATCTGGGGTGGGGGAGAGGCTGGCCTGTACATCTTGGGTGAGAGGAGAGGCTAGCCACACATCTGGGGTGGGGAGAGAATGGCCTGCACATCTAGGGTGGGGAAGAGGACGGGCTGCACATCTGGGATGGGGAAGAAGATGGCCTGCACATCTGGGGTGAGGGGAGAGGATGGCATGTGCGTTTGGGGTGAAGGGACAGTTCTCAGATCTCTGGAGTGGATGGGGACCCAATAAGACTCTGCACTAAGGCATGTGACTTTCAGGGAAGATATTCCCAGGCCAGGACACACCCCAGGGGGTTGTTTCTTTTCTCTACCTCTGCTCAGGACTTCCTAGGCTATAGGAGGCCCCACCACCGCAGCTGGAGCTCCTAATTCATTTCTCCACTCTCCTGGTACCCCTTGCCCATCCTCTCAGGTTGTAAAGCCCTCCATCTCTTTTTGTGCTGGTGAGCCTTAGATAAGAGTCCTCCCTTGGCCCTGCCGGTCTTGCCTAGCCCAGTCCACGGGTGACACTCTGTATCAGTGGTGCCATTCTCTGCTGACCCCTGCCTCGGTGCATACACTGCTCCCCAGGTATGAGGGCTTAGACTCCAAAGAGAGTCCCGGCCTCCAGCCCTGACCTCCTGATCTCATCCCGTCAAAGCCAACTGAGATCTGTATTTGTTCTTTATCTTTATTTATTCTCCATCCCAGTGGACCTCTGATTCAACCAAATGCAAATGAAAAATATTGCATCTGCATAGAGTCTGTCCACATTCTTCTTGCTCTTACTCCCTGGGCCATACACAACTGTTTACATAGCACTTACACAGTATTAAGCATTATCTGTTAACAGTACACAGGAGATGTGTTTAGGTTGGGCACAATGCTGGGCCACTCTACACAATGAACTAAGAACTATGGATTTGTGCATTGGTGAGGCAATCCAGAACCCATCCCCACAGACACTTAGAGATCCTGTGCCACCGTTCATGTCTTCACAGCTCAGGTCACAACTGGCAAAGACAGTGTTTGCTTATATGTGTATTCTCAGCCTCCCCCACAAAGACATGTGTTCCAGGACAGCCTATAGGTCCCACTGTGTTCCAAGCCATTAGCACAGTGCCTAGTACATAGAAAAGGCTCCACATATAGCCACTGAAGGTATGAATTAATTAATTATTTAATGCCAGTGCCAAACCCTATTCACACACTAAGCATGTGGTGACATCGACTGACTTATGAAGCCACAATTCCCTGTGTTTTGAGACAGGCTCTTAGTCTGTAGTGCTACCTGGCTTGGACATCACTTTGTTGCCCATGCTAGTCTCAAAATAGTAGTGTCCTAGTTTGCTTTCTGTTGCTGTGATAAACATCAACCAAAAGGGAGGCAAGGGCTTATCTAAGGCTTGCATATCCAGATCACAGCTCATCCCCGAGGGACACTAGAGCCCAAGGCAGGAGCCATGGAGGTCTGCCTTCTGACGTGCTCACAGACTCACCTGCAGCTCATTTTCTGGTACAGCCCGGGCCACAGTGAGCTAGACCCTCCTATATCAGCTGCAATCAAGAAAATGCCCCGCAGACAGGCACATGGGCCAATCTGATGGGGGGATTCTGCCTCAGCCTCCTAATCGAGTGTCACATTATAGTTTCAGAACTCCTTTTGTCCATACAACGGTGTCATGAACGTTGCCCATTCTATGAAATGGTTTCCTCAGCCTGATTTCCCATAGCTATGGAACAACCCATTCTTCAGTAGAATCCTAATTCCATTTCCTTTTTGAGGACATTAATTTCCGTTTTTCTTCTTTCTTTTTTTCAGATTTCTCTTTTACACTTATTATTTATTTGTGTATGCATGTGTGTCTGTGTGCATATAGGTCAGCAGACAGCTTTCAGGAGTTTGTTCTTTCGTTCTGTCACATGGTTTCCGGGGATTGAACTCAAATCATCAGGCTTGGTGGCAAGCACCCTTACCCACTGAGCCCTCTTGCCAGCAGTAGCTCTGCTTTTCAACTTCATTAGAATTCTTTAGCTATGATATTCTAAACCTTAGAAGACAACAAACCATTATTAGACTTGTACAAAATAGATTCACAAACTCCTGATATTGGATGAAAGATTTTTTGTATGCTTACATTGTCTTGGATAAAAGAGCCATAGCAATCATCATAGTATTAAAAAGGTATACAGGGGCTGGAGGCATGGCTTAGCCAGCTCTTGCCATGTAACTGTAAAGGCTTGGGTTCGAATCCCCAGCACCCATGTAAAAATGTAAAATTAAAAATAGCCAGGTGTGGTTGTACTTGCCTGTGACCCCATTGTTGCAGTGTGGAGACAGGGGGGTCCTAGGTGTTCAGGGGCCAAGCCAGGCTAGCTGAAATGAAGAACTTCCAGTTTAGTGGGAGAGGGTTCCTAACTCAAGACACCCCAACATTTTGACTGGAAAGCTAGCTCAGCAATTAAGATCATTGGCTGCTCTTGCAGAGGACCCAGGTTCAATCCCAAGCACCCACATGGCAGCTGACAACCATCTGAACTCAGTTCCAGGGAATCTGAAACTGTTTTCAACAACCTTAGGCACCAGGTACACATGTATTGCACATACAGACATGCAGGCAACACCCCTACACATGGAATAAACCCAATATCCTCCTGTGGCCTCCACATGCAGAGAGAGAGAGAGGGGGGGGGGAGGGAGAGGGAGGGAGAGAGAAAGAGAGATTTTAAGGTATTGTAACACAGTGAAGCTCATTTGGAAAATTCCATCTTGAGAGAGCAGAGTCTCGGGAGCAGAAGTGATAACATTGGGCCTGGTATTATTTACACTCTGTCTGGACTCATCAGTCATTGATAGCCCCAAAGTTGTCACTGCAGCAGACTAAGGGGAAGAGTATTCCAGGCACACTCATACTAAGGGGAAGGGTATTCCAGGCACACTCATACTAAGGGGAAGGGTATTCCAGGCACACTCATACCGGGGATGCCAGGGCCAGGATGAATCAAGGCAGAACCAGGGGCATCACCACTCAGGTCAACTGCCTTCTGCCTGAGTACCTCCCATCCACCCTCTGTCACCCCTGAACAGCCTCATTCTTGGACGCCAGCTACCCAAAGGCCTCTTCTCACATGTTGAGTTAGTTGCCACTCCGCAAATCATTCTTGGCTTTTCTCTCTCCCCGTTTCTAGCTACCATCAAACCGCCGGATGTGACCTGTATCCCCAAAGTGAGGTCCATTCAGATGCTGATCTACCCCACACTCACACCCATTCGCTCAGAAAATGGCCACCAACTAACCCTGGAGGAGATTTTCCGTGACCTGTTCTACCGCTTAGAACTCCGAGTCAACCACTCCTACCAAACGGTAAATATAGGTCATACCCCATGCCTTCTTGGGAACCCCCTTCCCTCCCAAGAATATTGAGCTGCTTGCAGCAAAAGTGCTACATTATATAAAAATGGCACTTCCCAAAAAAATGTCCTTGTAGGGCTCCGAGAATTCTAGTGGAGTCGTGAGGCACCGTCTCCCTCTGTAGGATCATACAGCATCCTCAAGGCTCTGACAAGTCCTGCAGAGCCAGGGCTTCAATTTTGTACCATGCAAATTTCGTATTTATTGGGCCAGATTCCTTTTGTTTGTTGGGTACATTAGTTGGTGTTTGTCCGTTTGAGGTAGAGTATTACTCTGTAATCCAAGATGGTCTGGAACTCCCTAAAAACTCATAGCAATCCTCCTGCATCAGCACTAGTATTATAGGCATGTGTCACTGGACCTGTCCAGAAAGCTTTGTTGTTTGGTTTTTTGTTTTGTTTTGTTTTTTTCTTTGTTTGGGTTTTGTTTTGTTTTGTTTTGTTTGCCTAATATCCTGCAATATCCCAGAGAAGAATATATTCCTATTAATATCCCCAGTTTTTCTCTCTTTATTTTGGAGACAGGGTTTCTCTGTGTAGTCCTGGCTGCCCTGGAACTCACTGTGGAATCCAGACCTGCCTTTGCCTCCAGAATACTGGGATTAAAGGTGTAAACCACCACCTCCCAGTCATTCTCTTTAGAAAATGTTGGTGTCAGGACAGCAGCCATAGCTTTGAGAGTACTTGCCTAGCCTGTACAAAGCTCCGGATTTGGTTCTCAAAACCACAGAAGCAAAGCGTGGTGGTGTATGCCTGTAATCCCAGATCAGAGGTGGAGGCAAGAGAGTCAGGAGTTCGTCACCATTCTCGGGCAGCAAGTTTGATACCACCCTGGCCTGTGTGAGACTGTGTCTAAAACAGAGAGAGAAAGGAGACTAGAATCCTGGAGTCAGCCTGGAAGTGTTTGAGGAAGCTGTGTGCAGGGAGCGGCTTAAGATGGGTTCTTACAAAAGGTCAAGCCACAAATGGTAGACAGTATGCAAATGACCTGATCTTGTGCACTCCCCAGTGTGTACCATCAGTTCATGACTCAGCTGAGTGAATGTTTATTTCCTCCTCTGCAGTTCTGAAACAATCCCTCAAAGAGTGAACAACCTAGTGGGTGGGGGAAAGGTTAAAACAAGAATTGGAACAGGCAAGACTTCATGTCAGCTCAGCACGACCTAAGAGACTGGAAAACTCTGGGGTGTCCATGCCACTTTCTGAGGCGTGCAAGGATGTCACTTATCTTCATGGCGCCTCACACAGTTCCGTGAGTGGGAGCTAGTGTCTCCATCTTCGAGATGAGAAGACACAGACTCAGAGAGGTTAAGCCACTTCCTGGACAGAGGTCAGCACCTTCAGAGATGCCAGCAAAACCTGCTCTTACCCTGGAGGGCCTCCATTTGTTGTGACCCCATGATCAGAAAGAGAAGCAGGATCATGTATGATACGTTTTTCAAAAGCTCAAAGCTGGCCACTCTGGCTGGAGTGTGAAGCCACACGAAGCAGTTTTCCTGCACATGCCCTGGACCGGTGGTGTCAGAACCTCCCAGGGTACTTGCTCAAAACACAGCTCCTGGGAGCCCTGGCAGAAATCACATAAGGAACAAAAGGAGTCTCAAAGGTATCAGCTAGCAAGGCAGGAGGGGTGTGGCAGAGTAGAGCAATGCAGGGAACACAGGAAGAGGCCAGGGCATAACTCAGGCATCAGGGACACACATCTAGTAACCTCCATCCTCCAGAAGATCACTTCCCAACTCTCATCACTTCCTAGTGAAACCATCAAATTACAAGTCCATAAAGGGATTGATCCATTCATTAGGTCAGAACCTGGGCAATCCATCTTCTTAGACATACCCTCACAGACACACCCAGGCACAACCTCATGGTCTCCTAAGTGGCTCTCAACTCAATAAAGCTGATAAGTTTAACCATCAGGGGCCCCTCCCAGTCTGCTCCGATGTTTGCAGCTGCCTGTCTGAAACCTGGATTGTAGTGAGCATCCCACAGGGGACTCTCCTCCCTTGCCTTGAAGCTTGAGAACCTCCTGTGTGGAGGGACTGTGGGAGACAAGCTTGAGGAGCCTGTTGGGACTGTGGGGTACAGATGGTAGAGGAAAAGTCCACGGTTGCCATAGGAACAGCTAGAGATTACCTTGTCATCAAAGCAGCTCCTTCTGATAAATATCTGGGTTGGACTAAAGATTTTATGATTCCTGATTTCTGATTTGATTTGGCCTGTTGTCCGTGAGCCTACTCTATCTGAATTAGGCTTTTTAAACTCATGAAGGTTTATTTTATGGCCTGCCATCTGCTTGGCTTCTGAAGAGAGTAAGTGTGTTCGGAGGTGTAGGGTAGTGTGTTCTACAAACACCAACAAGATAGGGGAGACTAATGGAGCTCTCTCATCGGTATCTTTTCTGACATGGGGCAGGGGGTAGGGAGGACTGTGTTGTTCTTAAAGCTAATGAGAGTACTGAACTCTTCAGCTAGGCATATGAGTTTATTTCCCTTAGTTCTGTGCACTTTTCTGTCATGCAGTTCGAAACTCTTATTAAGCATATGCTTGCATGATTGTCACATCTTCCTGATAGGTTGGCCTCTAATCATGATGGAAACCCCCTTTTTGTCTCCTGTTGAATCCACTTTATCTGACATGGATATTGCCACCCCAGTCTCCTTATAGTGTATCTGGTTTATACACGAATATAATTTTAAAGGTCAACTTAATGTCTATGAGTGTTTCGACTGTACATGTTTCTGGGTATCACATGCATGCTTGGTTCCCCTAGAGATCAGAAGAGGGCATCAGATCCTCTGGAAGTGGAGTTATGGATGGTTGTAAGATATTATATGGGTGTGGGGAACTGAATCTGGTTCCTCTGCGAAATTAGTGAGGCCTCTCAACCACTGAGCCATCTCTCCAGGCCCCAGAAGAGAAGCTGGAGAGATGGGCTCTGACGTGGGCACTGGGAACCGCACTCTTGGAGTTTTTGGTTGTAAACTTGAGCCTTTAATGTCTGAGCTACCTATCCAAGCCTCAGGCCTTTCTATAACCATTTATCTATTTTAAATGCATCTATGAAGACAGTGCTCTGCTAAAGTATTCCTTTTGATGTATGTGGGCATGTGTCAGGGCATCCATATGTCATAGCATGTGTGTGGAAGTCAGAGATTATCTTGCAGGAGCTGATTCTCTCCTTTTACCTCTCGGGTTTGAACTCAGGCCACCAGCCTTGGCGGCAAGCCCCTTTACCCACTGAGCCACCTCACAAGCCTTTTTCACTGAGAGTCAACTCATATGTCATAAAAATTCATTCTTTTCTTTCCATTTTTTGTAATGTGTGGAATCAAACTCTGGCCACACCCCCAGACCTAAAGTCACCCTTTTAAGGTGCAGAGTCCAGGGGTTCTGAGCATACCACAAAGGGGCATCACCACCCCTCCCGCTTACCGTAATTCATCCAATCAATTTGTCTTTGGGTTTCTGTCTTCTCTCCTTTGCAAACCATTGTTAAGGCCATGTGCATTTTTTAAACATATATTGTGTTGTTCAGTTCTGAAGTTCCCAATATTTATATTTACTATGTATTACTGATGTAGATGGATGTTCCCTGCCCTGACCTCCTGTTCCCAAATACCCAGCAGTGGCTTCCCAAATTACCACACAGAGGCTTATATTATTTATAAATGCTCGGCTGATAGCTCAGGCTTATTACTAGCTAAGTCTTACATTTAAATTAACCTGTTCCTAATAATCTCTGTATTGTCACGTGGCCCAGGGCTTTACCTGTCCTCTAGCATCTTGCTTCCTGGGTAGCTGGCTGATGTCTCTCCTGACTCTGCCCTCCTTTTTCCCACCTAACTCCCTGTCCAGCTACCTGCCTGTCAGCCTTTTATTAACCAATGAGAGTAATACATACTCCTAGGGTAGCTGTCCCACAGCATGCTGAGATTTATTTATTTGCTGAATTTTGTACATATGCCAAGGTGCACCTGGCACAAGTATGGAGGTCAGAGGACATGCAGAATTTGGTCTCTCCTTCCTCCATGGGGTCCTGGGGATTGAACTCAGATCCCCAGGCTTGGCAGCAAGCACCTTTCTCCACTGATTCAAAATTACTGTATGTTGAGCCCAACATTCTGGTCATATTGGGGTTTACAATCTTTGCTTTCCTTGTACGTTTTGTAGTACAGCTTGAATATTACAAACACCGCCTTGAAATGGCTCTAGCTTGTGTAATAACCTCCAAAGGGTGTAGGTTAGTCTGTGTTCTTTTGTGGGGGGGGTGGATTTTGTTTGTTTGTTTGTAACAAAATCTCCCACTTTGGCCCAAGACAGCCTGGAACTTATTGTGTAATTGAGGTTTCCCTCAAACTGGCAGTAATCCTCCTATCTCCGGCTCCTGACTGCCACCATTCTCTACTTTCTGTGGTGTTCTTACATTAACTTGGCTGAACTTTACGCTCTGACATCTCCATTCAGTCTTCCAGTCTTATTTAGGCTTGGAGTCTGTCTCGAGCATGCAGTGTGTATCTTATTTATGCATGGAGGCTACCTGACACATGTAGTGTGCATCTTATTTAGGCATGGAGGCTACCTCACACATGCAGTGTGTATCTGAAGGCCTCCAGGGGTAGAGCTGAGTTCACACAAAGAACCTGGGCCTCCTCCACAGAGCGTTCTCCACAACCCCACAAAGCATAGTTTGGAATCTACCTTCAGGATAGAAGACATTTAAAAACTTCGCTGCCATTCCTCCCTCATCTCCCAGCACTCCCTCCTTTAGACGGTTAATTTCATTGCTTTTCATCACGTGTCAAAGTACAGGAGAACATAAAAGGAAGAATTCGCCCGTGGGCTCACGGCTTCAGGGGACTCCATCTGTGGTTGCTGGGACCATACACTTGGGTGGAATTCATGGTGGGAGGAACATGCATCAGAGAAGGATTTTCATACACAGAAAATAGCAGAGAGAGGGAGGGCAGGGGAGGGCAGGGGAGGAGCAGGCCTAGAGAGATGGCTCAGGGGTTAAGAGTGTGCACTGCTCTTGCAGAGGTCTGGGTTGGGTTCCCAGCAACCAAGTCAGGCGGCCCACAACTGCAGGTAACTCCAGCTTCCAAAGGCCCTGCACACAGACACACACACACACACACACACACACACACACACAGACACACACACACCTAGTTTAAATAAAATAAAAATGAAAGCAGGAGTGAGGGGCAGGAAGGGGTCAGGGACAGGGCATCTCCAAGGACCCACCCCTTTACCCTTGCCCTACTTCCTCTAGCTAGTCCTGCCTCCTGAAGTTCCCAGAACCTCTCAAAATATTGCCATCATCTGGGAATCAAGTAGTCAAAACATAAGTCTATGTGTGACTTCTCGTACCAAGCTGTCATAGACATGTTAATGTTGTTATTTGGGGGACAGTCCATCCCATAAACGGCATATATCCCTAGAATAGGGTGAAGTCAGGGGGTGACAGACACAGGCAAAGCCAAGACGGAGATAGGGTAAGTGTGGTGACAGTCCTGGACCTGGACCACAGAATATTTAATGTCTTCAGGGTCGGCTGTTTGAGCTCTACAAGAGCGATTTATGAAATATATCCACACAACCCCACCCACTTCGTGAAGAGATCCCCGCCCCTCCCCCGTCACCAGTGCCTGACCTTAAACTCTTGCCTCACGTGTCCAGAAAAGAGAAAGCTCGAGTGCAAAGAGAAAAACACAAAACAAAAACAAAAACGCAGCCCTGCTGCTTTAAGGGAAGCTGGTAGCCACAGAGGATGAGTTAAGTCTGGGTCTCCAAGATGAGGACATGATGCTATGAGACAACTTGAGAACAGGGAGCAGGTGTGGGGATGGGTCTGGGGACACGGGGTGTGGGGGTGCCTGCCGGCTGCCACCCAGAAGGGGGTTTTTCCGTCCATCAGGGACCCTTCAGAGTCATGCATCAGTGATCAGGGAGGCTACGGGTCCACCCAGGATCATTAAGTGATCAGAGAGGTAGAGACGGGTGAAGAGTTCATCCTACACGGATGGGACTGGGGGACTAAAACAGGTGACCTTGTCACAGAGTGACAGGAGCTGACAGGATCCCCACCCCCAGAGTGGCACAGGGCAGGCAAGATGGAGGGATCTAAGGAAAGGGAGTTAGAGAAACCCGGGAAAGGAGAACCACAAGTTGTCACCACACAGGACAGCAGATGGAAATGAACCCTGGCTTACTCAAGTCAGGGCTTCACCAGAGACCCAGGGCCCTGCATCCTCAGAGCCCTGAGTGAGCCAAGGGGGGGGGGCTGTAGATGGGATTTGACTGGGATGATGCCTTGTGAAGGAGAGACGCTGTAAATCCAGACGGCGGCACCAAGATGAATGTGCCAGTGGCCAGGGACGAAGCCAGAGATGAGTGACCAGCCACCGCAGAGCCCAGGCTGGGGGCAGCAGGGCAGAAGGGGCAGAAGGGTGGAGGGACATAGAGCAGGCAGGGTTGATAATGGAGGAGGCAGGGGAGAGGCAGAGATGGTGGTGGCATTCATGGTGTCACCGAAAAAGCCGGTATCTGTAGGCTGTCACAATGTGACAGGCCAGGTGCTATTCAAAAGGTTCAAAGAGCTTGAAGGCTGATTGAATTGAAGATAAAAGAAGATGGAGGAGCAGAAGGAAGAGCACCAGCTGAACTTCCGGGTCAGGCTAGCTGATGGGGTCATCTTAGTATCAAGAAGAGGAATGAAGAGTGGCATGTTTGTGAACATGTGTATGGTGTGTGTGTCTGTCTGTATCTGTGTGTGTGTGTGTGTGCATGTGGTATGTCTGTCTGTCTGTGTCTGTGTATGTCTGTCTGTGTCTATGTGTGTGGTGTGCCTGTCTGTGTCTGTGTGGGTCTGTCTGCATCTGTGTGTGTGTGTGCATGGTGTGTGTGTCTGTCTGTATCTGTGTGTGTGTGTGTGTGTGTGTGCGTGTGTGTGTGTGTGTGTGTGTGTGTGTGTGTGTGTACCTGTACAGTCACGGTATGCAGTCATGCTGGGTTCTCTGTCCATTTCAGCACCTTGAAGGCAAGCAGAGAGAATATGAGTTCCTTGGCCTGACTCCTGACACAGAGTTCCTCGGAGCCATCACAATTTTGGCTCCAATGTGGTCCAAGGAGAGCACTCCCTATGTGTGCCGAGTGAAGACGCTGCCAGGTGAGTTCAGCTGAGGCCGTGGGGGAGGATTCCTGAGTGCCCAGCTTAACTCCACTCCCTCCTCCTCCCCGTAACCAAGGGGATGCTTGTCAGTGTTCTGAGAACCCTTGGAGATTGGTGTTATCATATTAAGACTGATCTTTGTTTATCCATAGCTGAATTGTCTAATGGGTTCACTTAGTGAATGTTTAATCACCACCCTAAGCCAACACCTGAATTTCTTTTCTCTGGCCAGCTTTGTGTAAACTCTGACAAAGCAAACATGTACATTATCAGCTCAAGCAGCATATACTAGGAGAGGAGGTGTACAGGGGTGGGGACAGAGAGGATAAAATGATCCTCATATCTTCAAAGCCAACGAACGATAAATGTCTGCTGAGCGGACCAGGGACTAGCCACTGTAAACCCTGACTCCCACACAGTCTGGGGGCGGGTACTTCAATCACCTTCATTCTACAGCAGAGGAGACAGGTTCAGAGTGGTACATAATTTACCCACGGTCACACAAGAAGTGAAGGATGGGATGAGGCTCAAATCCAGTGACTCTGTGCTAACCACTGTGTTACAGCGTAGTTTTGAGTCATGTACTCAGGGGGATAGTGGCAGACCCCCTTCCTCTCGCACATTCTTGGGACTCAGGTTTTGGCTTGGGAGCAGAGCCCAGGCAAGGTTTGGGGTTCCATCCCTAACAATGAGAAGCAAACCAACGAAAGCTTTGGAGTGTCTGCTCTTCCAATTAGACGTATGTTCCCAAGCAAGTAAGAAGAGTTGTGATGCTTCAAACTGCCAGTGAGAGCAGGGTGACGATGTCACTGGGTGGGAACGTCTCCCTCAGAGCCCAGCTCGAGGACTGGACAGCAGTGCATGGTACTCTGTGAAAAATGGTCCTGAAAACTCAGCCCATCAGAACCTGCAAGACACTGGCTTCTCTGCCCGAGTCCCAGGACATTATCTGGCAGGAGACACAGCTGGAGGACAACCAGCCCTGGCCAATAGCATGGGGCATGCCCTTCCTTCATGAGGAACCCGGGCACCAGAATAGAACCTGGCAATCAGGAGGCAAGGAACAGAAACCACTCTGTGGGTGCCAAGCTGGGCCATGTATAATGTGATCTTTGACCTTCACCCTAACCCGGTTGGATATTTTTCACCTGTCCCCAGGCACCCTGCTTCTGGGCGGCAGACTGGCCACTCCTCACCCACCCTCCTGTGGGTTTGACCTCACATGAGCTGCCTTCAATGTCACACTAGTTTTGTTTGGGTTTGGCTTTTTTGTTATGTTTTACGCCAGGGTCTCCTTCTGTAGCTCAGGCTAACCTCTAGCTTCCTATCCTGCTGCCTCAGCCTCCTGACAGGCATATACCACTTTCCCCTGAGACTACCGCTACTTTCGGCTGAAGCTTCCTTTTCTTGGCTGTTTCTTGCCAATGGAACTAAGACACTTTCTCTTTAGAGAACAAACTATGTTACAAACACTTCCTGCTATTATGAATAACTCTGTTGCCAGCATGCCAGCTGCGTTATACATTCTTTCATCTTTACCATTGCATGTTAATTTTTAAGACCACCATCCCCCAAGAATGTTGGTAGCATAATCCTCATTTTACACAGAAGGAACTCTGGCTCAGAGAGGTTAAGTAACGTGTTCATGACTACACAGCTGGCCAGTGACCCAGTTAGCTTTGCCTGACTCTAACCATCACCTTAAAATCTAGTGAGCAGCTAGCCCCTTCTGCTGAAGGCTTACTCTGCACTTTCATTCCAGAGTGACTCATCCTGCCCTTGACCTTAATCTAGGTTTGGCCTCTTCTAGATCCCAGAATACCCTCTTTGTTTCCTCAGGATGCCTGGGAGTTACAGATTATCATCCCAGCATCTTGGTGTGGGAAAGGGGTTGCCGCACCGCTGTGCAGCCTGTGTCCAAGAATGTGTGGAGGGTGTCGGGATTGATGACACAGAGGCCCATCAGTGGTGCAAAGAAAACTTCAACCTTGCGGGCGAAGGCCTGGAGATTTAACCTGGTACCCCTAACTTGGTACCCCTTTCTAATACATCCTCATAGACTTACTTGCTGGCCAGCCTTTGAGGGAGATCTCTCAGTTCCCCTTTACTTTCCTGACCTCAATGGATCAGGCAAAAGGCTGGAGATTAATTCAATACACATTCTCCTTAGAAGGAGATCTCTCAAGCAAAAGCCTGGGGATTTGACCATTCAATTTTACTGTTAGAAGTTGAGGTACCTGTTTTCAAATCTTTTCTTTCTTGAGTCTCTCCTCTCCCAAGTCTTCTTTCTGACCGATCTTTCCCAGTCTTTCCAAGTCTCTCTGGATCTCAGTGGGACCTCCAATTGTGGTGCCTGCACCACAAGCAACTCCGAGGTATCGGGAAAAGAAAGACCAGATGTCCACCTGTTTTTACTAAGAAGTGTCTTTATTTTGCAAGTGCTAAGAGGTCTCTCTCTTGTAGGTGGGAGCAGTCTTATATATAGTCTTACAACACAGTAGAAAAATCCAGGTGGAAGAGTGCGTGTTTTCCTCCTGCTAGATGTTGATGTCACTGGGGCAATGCGGGGGCAGTAAGCCAGGACTAGAAAACAAGATGCACCTGTGGCTATCAGCTGACAAACAACTCAGAGACCCTGTGGGGGCTAGGCCCCAACAAGGGGTCCCAAAGTTGTTTTACTTCATATCTTTCACAAATGAGGAAACCGAGGCATGATTATACATTTTCTGGAGTCAAACTCTTTCCACTGAGGAGTTGTGTGACCTTGAGCAAGACACTGAATCTCTCTGGGCATCATCCTTGTTGCCTAAAAGAGGAGATCATCCCCATCCTTCTGTGTGCTCTGGTGATTTGCTGGGCCAGCCTGCTCATGCAGGTAAAGCTTAACCACAAGCAGCTGGACCAGACAGGGCTGCACAGCAGGGGATGCTCAGCTCATTGGCAGCAAAACAGACCTCTAAGGACCCTGTTCCTCATCTCCAGGTTGTCACCATCATTTTCTCACCCTGCCCCACATGGGTGAAATGACATATGGAAAACTATCCGGCCAAGGACATCGTGTTCCTGTCTTGTCCTGGTACAAAGACCGGTGGCTTCGCTGTGACATTGCCGTAGTGTAGAGACATGCATGTCGTTCTTCTCACTGTAGCAGTGGACCTTCCACATCAGTGGTTCCCGACCTCCCTAATGTTTTCAACCACCCTTTATTACAGTTCCTGGCACTGTGGTGACCCCACCCTGAGATTATTTTCGTTGCTACTTCATAACTGTAATTTTTCTACTGCTGTGAATCATGATATAAATATGTTTTCTGATGATCTTAGGCAAGCCCTGTTTGTGACCACCAGGTTGAGAACCACTGTTCTAGATCCTTCTAGACAACACCCTTCCAAGAGCAGACACTTGGAAGTCCCCATGCCTGTGACAGAGTTTGCATCCTGACCAGGCTCACCTCCTGCTGAAGGAATTGACCAGTGTACAGATGCTTGGCCCAGAGAGTGATTATTAAGTCTAGATGTGGGGTCTGGATGAGCTGGCTGTGTGGGTGGGGATGTCGGTGGCCAGCTGAGGCCCCTGGCTGTGTGAGTTGCAGTCACACTGAGGAAGGAGGCCTGAAAAGAGGCCTTCCCTGTCTCACTTTTGTTTAAGGTGGGGTCTCTCACATAGCCTAGAATAGCCTTGAACTCACCTGTACCAGGGGATTGCTTTGAGTGTCTGACCCTGTCTCTGCTTCCCAGATGCTGAGATTTTAGACCTGTTCCCCAATTATGCAGTGCTTTATTGAGTCCAGGGCTTTCTGGATGCTAGGTAAGCCTGCCACCAACTGAGCGGCATCCCTGGTGATGCATTTTGCCCGAGAAGGTGGTGAAGAACTCATCCTGACTGACAGGGTCATATTAGTTTTGCTCAGGATGGGGTCCAGGGGCCTCCAAGCCTCACACAGCCTTCTTCTGTGTTCTTCTGCAGACCGGACGTGGGCCTACTCCTTCTCAGGGGCCATGCTGTTCTCTATGGGCTTCCTCGTCGGCTTGCTCTGCTACCTAGGCTACAAATACGTCACCAAACCACCAGTACCTCCTAACTCCCTGGTGAGTCACCCACCTGAGGCCAGAGAGGGGAGTCTTGGGGGAGACCCTCCAAGTCCCAGAGGACAGGGGAGGCCCTGAGTGTTGTAGAGTTCTGCCACAAAGCAGATGGTTTATAAGGACGGCCCGGCAGGTTCCAGGGTGTGTGGAGAAGGCAGTGGGATTGACCAGGGGTGCCCTGTGGCTTGGAAGCATTAGGGCCAGGTGGGAGTGCAAGTCCTAGGAACATCGAGGGCTGATCAGTGAGGCTCTGTGGGGCTGCAGAACACATGACTGTTTGAATAGAAAATCAGAGCTCAGTGTATGGGTACAGTCGTGTAACCCCAGGACTAGGGGTGCTGATACAGAAGAATCCAAGATCCAGGCCAGCCTGAGATGCATAGTGAGACTCTATCTTACAAAGCTACCCCCACCACCAACAAAGAAAAAAATCAAAACTCAACAACAAAGAAACAGGTCAGAAACACGGGTAGAGTGGAGGTTATCCCTCCCGGCACTCAGAAGGTAGAGGCAGGAGGATCAGGATTCCAAGCTCATCCTTAGCTACAGAGTGAGTGAGAGCCTGTGTCCCAAAATGTCACAAGGGCTGGGCACACAGCTCAGTTGGCAGAGTGCTTCCCCAGCAGGCACAATACCCTGGGTTTGACTCCCAGCGCTGTGATCCCAGCACCCAGGGAAGGTGAAGGCAGGAGAAACCCAAGGTCATCCTTGGCTACATATCGAGTTCAAAGCTAGCCTCAGCTACATAAAACCCTGCCTCAAAGAAACAAAACCAGTCAATCATGATGGCACACATCCTTAATCTCAGCACGCAAGAGACAGAGGCAAGAGGATCTCTGTGAGTTTGAGGTCAGCCTGGTCTACAAAGCAAGTTCCAGGACAGCCAGGGCTACATAGAGAGCCCCTGTCTTGAAACAACAACAAAATTCAAAACTAAACAAAGAGCCCCTAAATGGGCAGCCCATGTCTGCCCCACTTTTTTATGAGAATTCGGGCTTCAGACTATAATGTGAAATCTCTAATTTCGATTACTGACACCTGGTTTTAGCACTGAGTCCCTAGGGAATCAACACATCGGCCAGCCCACCCAGCTGTGGGCCAGCCTCTGCTCTAGCAGCCCACCCAGCTGTGGGCCAGCCTCTGCTCTAGCAGCAAGGTCATCATCAGAGCCTCAGACTGAGCAGTGTGGCTCTGGAGCCAACTCTCTCCATCTGGGGGCACAGGGGGCATTTCACACAGTGTCACAGTTCTCTGGATACTCATTGTCTCCTCAGCCTCTCCGGGCCTTCCCCATCTTTTCCCTCCTCAGTCCCTCATAGCCATGCAAGCCACAACCTTGGGGAAGCTCCAAATATGGGTCATCTACTTCTTGGACCATCAGTCACCTGGAGCAAGAGACTCCTAAGTTCCTCTATCAGGTGTGACCTGGACCTTAGATGCCACAGCATCCATTTGCTTGCTTACTTTGGTTTTTCAAAACATGGTCTCACCATGTAGCCCAGGACGACCTCAAAGTCAAGATCTTTCTGTGTCAGTCTCTCTGGAATGCGCTGCCTCAGAGGCTGGGTGCGTTTGGAAGGAACTCTGTGGGAGAGAATGGGTTACATACATCTCAATGGACCCCCAGTGCCTTGGACACCCACAGAGAGCCTTGCCTGCCCATACCACAAAGCAGAACGTGGAGCTGGAGAAATTACCTAGTGGTATAGCACCTGCCACGCAAACAAGAGGACCGGGGTTGGGATTCCCAGACTCACATAAGTGCTGGGAGGGTGCAGCAGCCCCACCCATAACCCAGTGCCCTAGGGGCACATGGTACTCTCAGACCATGGTAGCTAGTTAGGCCAACCATACTGGTGAGCTCTGGGCTCATTTCCAAAACCCTGCCTTGATATACAAAATGACGAATGGCCACAGATACTGGGTGTCAGCCTCTGACTTCTTTGTGCATGTCATGCACACACATCATGTAGAAGAACACACACACACACACACAAAAGAGCATACCCTAAAGGGTGTATTCTTCTCTTCCCACAGAATGTCCAGCGAGTTCTGACCTTCCAGCCACTACGCTTCATCCAGGAGCGTGTGCTGATCCCTGCCTTGGACCTCAATGGTCCCAGCAGTCTGGCTCAACACACCCAGTACTCCCAAGTGATGGTCTCCACGTCCAGGGAGCCACCTGGAGTCGCACAGCAGCACAGTCTGCCTGAGGTCACCTACATAGGACAGTCAGATGTCTCCATCCTCCGACCCACCAATGTGTCACCTCAGCAGACACTGTCTCCACCATCCTATGCCCCAAAGGCTGTCCCTGAGGTCCAGCCCCCTTCCTATGCACCTCAGGTAGCCTCTGATGCCAAAACTCTCGTCTACTCTCCGCAGCAGGTGGTGAGGACCCACCCTCCCACCTGTACCGCACAGGGCACTCTGGACAGCTGGTCTGCTTCCTATGCTGTGTGTGGGGAAGACACTGGCAAAGACTCCCCTCCTGAGGCCCTCTCCAGTCCCAAACGCCTCAAGCCAAAAGGTCAGCTCCATGAAGTCACACTTGCAGGAAGCTGTCTCCCAGGGGACCTTTCTCTGCAGGGAATCACTTCCTTGGCTTCCAAGGAGACCCAAAGACCAAAATCACTCCCCCCACCTCTGGAATTTTGCACAGACAGAGGGCCTGACCTTCACGCCCTGCGAAGTGGTGAGCCAGAGACACCAGGGTACTTGAAGGGAGCGCTATCCCTCCTGTCCTCTGTCCAGATCGAAGGCCACCCTGTCTCCCTCCCTTTGCACACCCATTCCCTCTCGTGTTCCCCCTCTGACCAGGGATCAAGTCCCTGGGGCCTGCTGGACTCCCTTGTGTGTCCCAGTGACGAAGGTCCAGCGGATGAGACTGAGGGCATGAGTCCCAGCGCTGCAGCCTCTGAGCTGGAGCTGCCCACAGAGCTGGACTCTCTTTTCAAAGGCTTGGCTCTCACTGTGCAGTGGGAATCCTGAAGGGACATCAGAGCAAGCAGGCCTGGGCTTCCTCCTGCCCCACCCAGCCGGCAGCTCCACATTCACTAGGCCGTAGGCTCCAAGGCCCAGCCCAAAGTTGGGTCCCCTGGCAAGAACTAGCAAAAGGAAGATTGGGCCCCAAGTGGGAATACAGATGTACGGTGAAGGCTCTGGTGGAGAAACTACAGGCAGGAGGCGTGTGCAAACAGCCTGTGCCGCCCAGCCTGGCAGGTAGGGCAGATGGATTGGGATAATGTAGGCAAACCTCCTGGGGACCCATGCTACCCCACCCCTCAGCTCCTAGGACATTGAGCTGAAGGCTGCCTATCTTTCATTGCTTCCTGGACAGCGCCCTAATCTAGTTAAACCAAGAGTAAGGCATCCATCCACCTTCTCTGGAGGAGCTTGGATTGGAAGCTAGGGGACCAGCATAACAGGCACTTCCACCAAGGCCAGACTTTAGGGCAGAGTGTGGCTAGGGGTTCACTCCCTGCCAGTGGTTCCTTCTTTGTTCTGTAGGAGGATTCTCCCTGGAAAATCCATCATAAGGGGAGGATTGTGCCCCACAAAACTTTTCTGCAGGTAGGGGCCCAGAGAAAAGTGTTTGAATGGGCCATGGATGGCCATGGACCCCAGAGGCTTTGGAATCTCCGCACATCTGGGCTCAAGTTCAGGCCTCTACACCTATATGACATCAAACAAGTGAATTAGCTAATTCAGATCTCGGCTTCCTCATCCATGAAACAGCGATCATCACAGTCACCTTATGAGGTGGTGCCAAGGATGACACTAATGTCTAGGAGGTGCTTTGGGGCAGGGTCCAATACACGGTCATGGTCTTCTGCTGGGAATTTTTTTAAATCTGGAAACACAAAGAGAGCCTCCTCCCATTCATGTTGGCTCATGGGTGTTTTCTCACGGGATAGAGACTGTTGCAGGCAAGGACTGGACTATCTAGGGCAGACAGGAGGAGTCTCTACAGGGCTGTCTGGAAACAGGCCCAGAGGCCACAAATGGCACAGAGCCTTCCCTTTGAGGTTGGAGGCAGAAGCTGTCTGGGCAGAAAACATCGCACAGGGCCTTCTTGGCATGGAGGGATCCCCAGACCTTTCTGCTCCTTCTCATGACATAGTGGCAGTACTGCACCTCTCTGGCTCCCTAACCCCATGCCTGTGCCCAGGAAGAGGAAGCATCCTTTACCCTCTGCTGTCAGGAAGCCATGCCCATTATACTACTCTCATCTCAGATGGGTCTTTCCAGGAGGAACCCGAGGGCCAGGCCTATCTAAGGCTCTGCCGTGGAACCCGTCCTCAAACACAGGGCCTTTTGTGTCAAGAGTGAATGCTCTCCACCCTGTTGAAATTCTTGGGGGCTGAGTCTGGCTGAACACAGAGAAAGGAGGGCCCTTAAAGGGTTCCTGAGAGATAGGTGCCCTCCCCATCACCTTCTGGCTCCAGATTTCTGAGATACAGCACCAAACTCCACCTGCGACATTGTGGCCCTCCAGAAATACACGGTGCCCTTCCTCTGCACTCACCTGTGTTTCCCCTTCTTTTCCCCACCTCATCCCCTTAATGACACATGGTGACAGGTGCAGCTCTTATCTATATGTCATTAATATTTAACCTCCCTCCAAGGTCACTGACCCAGTATCTCTGGCCAAAGGTTAACTGCCTTCACTTTGTTTATGAGTAAAAAGCCACGGAATGGCAGGCCTGTTCTCACTTAGTGCAACCAGAGCCATAAACTGGAGATGCGGGTGTGTCTAAGGAGGAGCCTGGGCCCCCGCCCTCCAGGAGGGAGCAGGCTCTGGGATCAGCACACACACACTCCTCCCCTGGCACCCCAGGCCTATAGCTGACCTGGATCCTGCTAGAAGTCAGGCTGTCAAAGTTCCACACTATCTTGAGTGAGCTTGGCTTTCCTGAGAGCCCTACCCCAAAACCTGCAAAGTGTCCAGCTCTGCCTGTCGTGCCCTGTCCCACCCAAAAAAGGTGAGTCTCTGAGTCACCTGCTTAACAAGGAATGGCATAACCAAGAGTAAAGGAAGAGTGACCACAGAATTGCCTCGGCCTTATCCTCGGGGAAGAGTCCAAGACCCTAGACCCCTGTCCAGCTGGAACCCACAAGCTGCATGCAGCCAAAGAAAGCTGGGACTGCATCCCAACACAAAATGGTAAACTTATTAAAGTTACTTAAACAGGAAAGGCTTCTGTCTTTTCTTTTTTGAATGCAGCTGTCTGCTTTTGCAAGTGTGAGGATGACAGTGTCAGATCCAGAGGATGCTTGAAACTATAGATGCTCCCAAATCCTGCAAAGGCTCTGATGTGTTACATACCTGTGATAAAGCTTAATTAGGCACATAAAGAGACTAGCCTCATAATAGAGTGGTAATTAGGAAGCACAGTGAAGGTTACTTAAACACAGATACTTAGTTACAATAACCCGTCTGACTGAATGATGGAAGTGTAGCATATAGAGAGTGGCTACATTGGCTCACAGGATGATGCACATGACACAGATCATGTCGATGGGAATAATGAACAACACAAAACACAGATTATGGGGCTGGAAAGGTGACTCAGTGGCTAAGAGCCCTGGCTGCTCTTTCATAGGACCCAGGTCTGATTGCCAGCAAACACAATATGGCTCACAACGGTCTATAACCCCTGTCTCAGGAGATCTAGCACCCTCCCCTGACCTCTGTGGGCACTGCATGTATGTGGAGCACAGACCCACATGCAGGCAAAGCATCCATACACATAAAATAAAAATGAAGGAGGGAAAAATGTTTTAACTGTGTGAATTATTTCTGGACATTCCCATGTAATGTTGTTGACTAAAAGTAACTGAAACCAGAAAAAGCAAAACCATGGGTGAGGAGAACTCACTGTAGCAGCGTGGTAAGAAAGAGAAAGGAGCCAGCTGTGCCACCTAGAGGATTTCCATCATCATCACTTACCCTCTGCTAGTCTTCCTTCCATGATACATTTCGGTGTCCTTCTTTCTCAAGGAGGAAAATGTGGCTCAGATAAATGGGTTTTCCTCCCCTCAGAACTTGGGACTGGGAGTTAGGGAACTAGATAGTTCAGCACGTAAGAGCATTTGAGTTCAAATCCCCAGCACCCATGAATGCACTTGTAACCCAGCCTCTGGAGAGGGAAGCCTAGCTCCAAGTTCAGCCACAGACACTATCTTAAGGGGGTAAAACAGCCAGTAACAGAGTAGGATGGTTGAAGTCATCCTCTGTGGTTTGTACACATGTGGGTAGGGCATACTCACCCACCTGTACGATTCAACACACACCACACTCACATTCACACACACTCGCCACTCACATTCACATACACACACACCCTACCAACAACAATAAAACTTGGGGATGTGGCTCAGTTGATAGTATGCGTTCTTAACACTCACAAATCCCTAGCACCCATAAACAGGGCATGGTGACATACATCTGTGATCCCAGCACGTAGGAGAAGAGGCAGGAGGATCAGAAGTTCGATGTCGATTGGGTGTGACAGCTTCCACTTTTAATCCCAGCACTCAGGAGACAGAGGCAGGGAGATGTCTGTGAGTTCAAGGCCAGCCTGGTCTACATAGTAAGACACTACCTTAAAAGGAAGAGGAGGAAGAAGAGAAGTTGTTCAAGGCCATCCTCAGCTACACAGTAGGTTTGAAGCCAAGCTGATCTCTATGAAGCCTTGTCTCAAAAAGGAGAAAGAGGAAAAATTCCTTCTGGATCATGGATTCAAAGAAAATGCTCTGTCATGGTGGGGATGTGTGCGGGAGGGGACAGCAGCTCCATCTCTCCCGGTTGAGTGCCGTGACGACAGCTCCCCAGACCTCACAGCTCCCCAGACCTTGTTCAATCAGAAAGCACAGAGCTCAAGGCAGCAAGGAAGAAGGCACGCCCTCTCTAAGAGACCCACATACACTAGCTAAGCCCCCAACATTCCCAAAACAGCACCACCAGATGGGGTCCTGGCACCCAGATGCATAGGCCTATCGGAGACATTCAGGCTCAAATCATAACATCAAGTTTGTTGAAAATACAGTTTCCCAGCATTGCTCTCGGAGAGACAAGACAAGCAGAGAATACATATTTTGTTGTCATTGTTTGGGACAGAGTCTTGCTATGAACCCTAGTTGACCTGTTAATCATTATGTAATCAGGCTGGATTCGAATCAATGACAGTTTTCATGAATTCATACCCTATGCCTCTCAAAAACTGGGATTACAGATGTGCAGAACCATACCAGGCTTAAGAATGTGTGTGTGTTGTTACATTTTATTTATTTTTAATGCATGTTGAGGTGTCCCTGACTCTGACGTGTGTCTAAGTTCATCTCTACAAGCTGCCTCAGAGGGCAGGGACAACAGGGCCTATTTAAGGGGCTGTGTTCTGCTGAACAGAGGCACATCTCACTTAGGCATCACAGAAAGTGTGTGGATCTGAAGACACTCTTTCTGGACAGGATAATAGGAGATGGAGAGGGCAGAATGGTACGTACTTGAAACCATGGCACTTGGGAGTTGCCAGTTGCAAGCTAACCTGGGCTACATAACAAAACCTTGCCTCAAAATAACAACAACAACAACAAAAAGATGGTGGTGGGCTGGAGTGATTTCTCAGTGGTTAGAGCACTGGCTCCAATGGACCCAGGTTCAATTCCCAGCCCCCACATGGCAGCTCCGACCATCTGTATTCTCCAGTTCAGGGGAGCTGATGCCCTCTTCTGGCCTCTGTGGTTACCAGGCAGGCATGTGGTACACAGACATATATGCAAGTAAAATACTCATGTGCACAAGTTTTTTTAAAGAAAAAGAAATGGATGTTGGAGCCAGGCACTCCAGCATCCTCCCATGAGCTTCTATGACACCCGCCGGGGGAAGAGGCAGAATCAGGCAAGCTTACGAAGGGCTTTGCAAGTAAGGCAGGAGATTAAGATTGGGACTGAAGAGCTCAATGCCACTCATGCCCTCTCCCCAGGGAGCAGCCTCTGAAGTTCTAGGAAGGGTAGCGGTGGCATTAACCCTGGTGCCTGTGGTCCCAAGAAGATGTCAGTAGAGAATCCATGTTCTCCAACCTGAAGCTGTCACAGTCCTCCCAGACCTGCTCATGCTCTGGAGAGCTATGTCCCTTCCTCATGGCTCCTCAACCCCTCTCCTAGGCCGGACACACAACTGTGGGCAGACCAGGAACAGGGCCAGTAACTGCTGGAATGACAGACAAGAAGAAGCCACACATCTCTCTCTACCTTAGCCGAGGGAATCACAATTTTCACCTTCGGGTCACATAACTACATGAAGCCAGATACCCTGACACGACGTCTCTGTCTTTCAGGAAGGAACTCAGAACAGGAAAGCTGAAAACCCTCCCCAAGGCACCCAGCAGTTGGAAGGAGAATTGAGAGCAAACTTTGTGTGTGTGTGTGTGTGTGTGTGTGTGTGTGTGTGTGTGTGTGTGTGTGTTTCAAAACATGGTTTCTCTGTGTGACAGTCCTGGCTGGCCTGGAACTCGATTTACAGACCAGGCTGGCCTTGAACTCACTGAGATCCGACTGCCTCTACTCCCCGAATGCTGGAATTAAAGGGGAGTGCCATTGCTGCCTGACTGAGAACAAACTTTCACTTTTCCCCAAACCAGGCTGGAACCCTAGGCATCTCATCCCTCTAGGCAGGGAATGGGGTGGGGTAGGAGGCTAGAGGTGGGGGAGGAGCAGTGGGGGCCACCCCACCTGTCGCTGCTGCCCAGCAGTGCTGGCAGGAAGACGCAGCCCTCCCCTCTGCCTCCACCCTCACCATAACTCCCATCCATTGTCATCACACTGTCTCAGCGCTGCTATATTTAAGACAGTGCGAGGCTCCAAGATCACATTCTTCACCCGTCCTCTCTGAGCAGAGGACAGGAAGAGACCAGGGACCTTCTTACTGTCCTGGAGACATCTGAGTGGACACTGCTACTTTTGTGAGTCACATACAGGGATCAGGGTCTGAGAGAGACCCCAACCTTCCACAGGGAATGACCTATGGAGGGTGGTGTAAATGGTGTGTGTATAGTGTACATATCTGTGATGTGTGTGTGTCTATGGTATGTGGGTTTGTGTATGAGTATATGATGTGGGGGGTGGTCTATGCATAGGTTTACTTGTATGTCTATGATGTGTGTGTGTGTGTGTTCATGGTGTATGTGTATTGTGTAGGGAGGGGTAGTGTGTCTCTATAGTATAGTGTGAGGGAATGTGTGAGTATGATGTGTGTATATTGTGTGTGTGTGTGTATGTATGTGTGTTATAGGGTATGTGTATGCTATAGGGAATATGTGTGCTATGGGTGTGTGTGTCTGTGTGTGTGTGTAAATATGTTGGGGGAGAGGCTTGGGAGATTTAAGTTTGGTAGCACCCCAGGTGAAAACGGGACCCCAGAGCTCCATGCCTCATTTCACTTTTGCAGCCCTGGGTCTTCTGAGTCTTCTGGTGTAAGTCCTCCTTGAAATCAAAGCTAAAAATAAAGAAAGGAAAAGGCCCTTGGGGGTTACCCTTGGAACCAGAGCTGTTGCTTCGTGGGGCAGCCAGTCAGGGAGCCTGGAACCATAGCAATTCCATATCCTAGGACTGCCAGGCTCATCCGGCACAGGGGATGGGGACATGGGGCTCTGCTGGGAAAGGAAGAGCCTCCAATAACCAGGGCCAGATCATCACAGCCTCCGGGGATCTAGCGAGTCACTGCATGTTCTAGCTTGTGCCGACCCACTGGGCAGGATACATCCACTCCAGCCCAGCCAATACAGCTCCTCTCAAAGGGCATTGGAGGCCACAAACCTGTCCCTGATTAATCCCACACTTTAGTCAGCGCCTTAAAAAGCATCCATGGCTCACCACAGTGGAGTGGTCTGGAGGCTGAGTGCCAGTGGGCCGATGTGTTCGTCAGGGAGAGAGCCAGTGCTGATGCCAGAACACATGAACCCTTTGCTGTGTGTCCCGGAGCAGCAGCGGAGCCTGGCTCCCCATATCAACCCTGTGTCTGGGAAGAAGTGTGGGATGAGCAGGTCTGGCTAGTTCTCTGTGCGGAGACATTTTCTATTCAGGAGGAGCCAGAGCCAGCCTAAGTGGGCAACTGTCCTTTGGCTCTGCAGAAACACTTGCTAGGAGCCAGGAGACCTTCCGGAGCAGCACTTAACGGCCGCTGGCTACAGCACAGGAAACCAGACCTTAATGCAGTGGAAGAATGCATATGCCTATCATATGCCTGAACCCCGCTCCCACCCAGCCATGTATGGCCTACATACGGATATGAAATAATCACTTTCTGAATGAGAACCAAATTGTAGGGTACAGATTCAAAACACCAAAAGGATTAAAGGAGAGAAAGTTCTAGGAGGCCTGTTATATTTTTACAAGGCTTCTAAGGAAGAAGGTGGCAGTGTCTGACACTTGGATGGGACTTACTTCTCCAGGCTTTCAATTAACCTTTTGGTCCCCCTGTCCCAGGAGTGTGATGGGTACATTTTACAGATGAGGAAGCCAAGTTATACCGTCCGAGGGCTCCCACGTGGAAGCAGGGACTAGAGTTGTGGGGTTACACCCACGTTCTCTACGGCATGTGTTAACGTGGCACCTTCAGGTTGGGCTTGGGAGGGTGGCTGGGGGAGGAAACCAGTACTGCAAAGGCACAGAGTAGGACTAGAAGGAAGGAGGGGACACCGGCCCGTGCTGAGACCTAGAATCAGCCTCCCACAGCATCATGTTGTTGCTCCTCATCTAGAGAGCCAAGCCCTGGAGAAGCGGGTGGAGAGACAGGACTGCAGCTGGCAGCCAGGGCTCTGCTCCTCGGTGGGTTCCGTTCACCCACTGCCAGGGCACGTGGGACAGTAGCGAAGCCAGGTTCTCCTTGTGCCTGCCTCGGTCACCATAGTCCTTTACCTTCTCGGGCTTCAGTTCCTGTGAGCCTCTAGAGCGGTGGTTCTCAACCTGAGGGTTGCGACACCTTTGGGGGTCATATATGAGATATTTCCATTACAGTTCATAACGGCAACAAAATTACAGTTCTGAAGTAGCAACAAAATAATTTTATGATTGGGGAGTCACCACCACGTGAGGAACTGTGTTAAAGGGTCACAGCATTAGGGAGGTTGAGAACCACAGCTCTAGGGAAAGAGCATCTCTCTCCCGAGTCCTCCCAAAGCACTTGGGAAGGGAGGGGAGGTGCCTGGTAGGATGACCATACACCTCGGCCTTGACAGGTTGCTGCCCTCGCAGCCATGACTCTGCCCCACAGTCCCGGAAGCGCCGGGGAGTCCCGAGCCTCCCAGGCTGTGCAGGTCCACAGGCTGGAACACAGGCAGGAGGAGGAACAGAAGGAGGAGAGACAACACAGCCTACACATGGGTTCTTCTGTGCAGCGGCGGACCTACCACAGCAGGTGGGAGTACCCATCCCCCCGCAGCCCCTCCCCTCCCAAGGACCCCAGTTAGAGGCATAACCCAGCTGTCCGGAGACTCCCATCTAAGATGGGAAGCACAGGGACCTTCTGAGGTAATGCCCCACCCCCATCAGAATGACCCCGTCTGAGAGCAGACACAGGCTGATGGGGGAGTGTGTTGGGGACTTTTGTCACCCTGACAAAACACCTGAGGAAAACACTTTAGAAGTGGCTTTTTTGTTGTTTTGTTGTTTTGTTTTGTTTTGGATAGCCCCTGTATGGGGTTCATTCCAGTCTTGGCTCCATTGCATTGAGCCTGAGGTAAGACAGAAGAAGCATCATAGTGGAAGGGTAGCCAGCCAAGAACAAAGAAAGAAAGGAGATGCCTGGGACATGACAAAGCCCCCCCAAAAAGACTTCCTCCAACCAGGTTCACCTCTAAATGTTTCTTCTGCCTCCAATAAAACCATTGAACTGAATTCATCAGGGGATTCATTTACGATGAACATACAGCCCATGGTCCAGTCACATCTCAATGAGGACTGAGTCCTTTAGTGGGTACCCCATATCCAGACCCTAAGAGGAGGCACAGCGTGTCCTCTGGAGCCTCTGGGGTGGACAAGACACCCCGGCTCTCTGAGGCCCCAGCATGAAGAAGGAGGTCCTGTATGAGAAAGGAACTCAGGGGTGCCTACTGGTACCCTAGTGAACAGCCATGGTCTCAGAAACCCCAGGCAGTCCCCCAAGAGCGAGCAGTGACCTCCCTTTCTCCTGGCAGTGAGGAGCAACAGCAGTTCAGCTCTGCAGATTATGCCCTGGCGGCTGCCCTGGCCCTGACAGCCTCCTCAGAGTTGTCCTGGTGAGTCATATGGCTGTCCCTGGGTGAGGGTGGACTGTCTTGTCTTGACCCCGGTCCCTGGTCCCTGGTCCCCTGTCCCCTACCTCATCACTGGGCTCCCACTGATACACAGTGGGCCTTCTTCTGGTGGAGAAGGGCTGGGCAGGATGCAAACCGCCACTTTCTCCACAACAAGCTTCACACCCCACCCCCCCATACACACACAACCCACCAGAAGAGTCCCCACAGCAGGAAAGAAAGGACTGTCCCCAAGCGGCTATCCTCATTACCAAAAAGCTTCGAAAGTAAAAGAGGCGTTGCCTAAGGGTTACAGAACTGGTGACAATTGCAAGTCTCACACAAGGAAGGAAAGGTCCCTGGACGCCTCTCCAGAAGTACCATGGCTTTGGGAAGGATCCTGGGCTTAGAGGTCTGGGACACAGTCCTGCTGTCCTTAAGCAAGTCACTGGACCTCAGTTTCCTATCCTATGAAATGAAGAGGGGATCACGTGTCCACTTGGACACAGCAAAAATCAGACCACAAAGCTGGGTGTGGCATACCTTTAATCCTAGCACTCAGGAGGCAGAGACAGGAAGATCTCTGCAAGTTCAAGGCCAGCCTAGTCTACAGAGTGAGTTCCAGGACAAGGCTACACAAAGAAACCCTATCTCAAAAAAAAAAAAAAAAGAAAGAAAGAAAGAAAGAAAGAAAGAAAGAAAGAAAGAAAAGAAAAAAGAAAACCTGTCTCAAAAAATAATAATTAAAAAGCAGCTAATGGTTTGTTAAGCAGACTCACACACTCCATTCATAACTATATAATTAAATTCTGACGGTAAGCAGGTTCCCCCTACACACACACACACACACACACACACACACACACACACACACACGCACGCACGCACACGCACGCACGCACGCACGCACACTTACATACACACTTTCCTGAGACAAGGTTTTATGTAGCCTAGGCTGGCCTCAAACTTGCGATGCAGCCATTGGTGGCCTTGAACTTTTGGTCCTCCTTTCTCCTGAGTGCTGGGACCGCAACACGTACTGTCACATCTAGTTTATGCGATTCTGTGGATCAAACCCAAGGCTCTGTGCACTTGAGGCAAGCATGCCACCAACCGAGCTGAATCCGCAGTCTGGTCCCAAGGTGTCTGTCTGCAAGCAGAAGATACAAGGCTGTGCTTGGTCCTAAAGCACACTCCCAAGGACCGCTAGCATGTGGGGGTGGGGAGTACAAACGCCCCAGCCTCTGCGTGCCAAGTCTGAGTCCTGACCCTGCAGGGAAGCTAAGCTGAGGCGCCAGACCGCCACAGTGGAGCTGGAGGAGCGTGGACAGAAACGGGTGGGCTTTGGCAATGACTTGGAGCGGATGGAGATGGCCTTCCTCCGGACCCAGAGGCTACTGCGCCAGAGGCGCGACTGGAAGGCCTTACGACAACGGGTGAGACACTGGGGTATCGCCCCCAGCCCCCCTTGACTCTAACACCCACCACAAGCCCTATCTTCACTCTCATCCCCTTCTCAGAAGGCACCCACAAAAGGGCCTGGGCCCTGGATTCCGATCCCAAGGCCCTACGCTTGTCTGGGTAACCTGGGAGAGGGTCTGTGACCCAGGTGTGGCTGTCACAGTTCTGTGCTGAGGTAGAAGTTAGATGAGCTTAGATTTGCAGAGTGACTTCTCAGTGTCTGGAAGACCTTCACAACTGTGCAGGGTCCGGTCTCACTTCCCTCCCCACCGCCCAGGTCACGCTTCAGGCGGCTTCTTCACATAAGCCCCATGTTTTTCATGGACTGACTCATCTACTCCCCGTTACAACCCCAGGGGCAGTGAGCAAATAAATGTCTTCATCATCCTCATTTTACAGTCATGGAGAGCGAGGCTCTCCTGTGACCCTGTAGCTGGTCCCGGAGCACATTCCCTGCCCACTGAGCAACACTGCCTCCAGGTGGTGTGGATGAGGGCTCAGCCAGAGTTTGAACGCTGGGGCTGGAAGGGAGGGGACAACATTGTGGGGAAGCCATCCTGGCTCCCTAGGAATCACACACCCCTTCACTTCCAGACTGAGGAGAAGGTGCGGGAGGCCAAGGAACTGATCGAGCTGTGCTCTGGCCGGGGCCCCTGGTTCTGGATCCCACTCCGCTCGCACGCCGTCTGGGAGCACACCACGGTGCTGCTGACCTGCACCGTCCAGGGCTCGCCTCCATTCCAGGTCTCCTGGTAAGGCCCCTGGGCTGGAGACAGAGTTCTCACTCTGCTCCCATCTCGCTTGGAGTTTTTTGTGACCCTCCGCCTTCACCCAAGGTTCCTCTGTCTCAGCAAGACCACAGCCCACAGACTCCGAGCTCTGCCCACCCTACACACTTAGCAACGACAGCTGCCTGAGAGCCTCAGGCCACCTCAGGCCTTGGTTATTCTTAGTCACCTTGCCGCCAGCCTGGGCCTGGAAAACTGAACCCCTGGAGAGCCAGCCCTTGTAAAAATATGGTTGTGATGGCGTGAGAAGGCAGCCGATCTAAGCTGGGTGTCTTCAGCTCTAGAGACTGTCTGGAAGTCAGGACAGAGAGCCCAGACACTATGGAGGAGAGGGGGAGGAGGGCAGGACCCTGCTGGGAGAACAGGTTCAGTTCTAGAGTGTGAGTCTGAAGTCAGGCCTAGCATTCTTGCCTCTGAGTCAGAGTGTGGCCTCAGGTATGTGACTTAACCCTCCCTGATGTGTTTCTGGTTTTGCCTCAGTCTCCTGCTCATAAATGGGCTGAAGACCCCTTATTCAAGTTTGGAAATCTCTCCAGTTGCCACAGGGCAAGTTTTTGTTGCTTTTTTGGGGGGGGCGTTTTGTTTTTGTTTGTTACTTAAAGCACAGAGTGCTAAGGAGTTGAGCATGGAAAGCATGTAGGCGGTCATAACCAAGAGTGACATCTCGAGGGAGCTGGCCTCCAGGTTGGCCAGTTCCGGCCACACACGGGGCAGTGTGCTGGCCACTGAGGTGCCATGGAGACCAAAGCAATCCCATGTGCAAGTCACTGGCCCCAGTAGGAGATCTGCTTCCAGTTCAGATCTGGGCTAAGTGGGGGTTCAGAGCCTCAGCTGTCCACTGGCAGCCAAGCCCCACCCACCTTGGCTCTTCAGCCCTCATCTAAGGCATTCCATGGAAGCCTCTAGGAGGGGGATTGGTTTCGGCTCCAGTCAACAAGGCCAGCCCCACAGAGCCAAGCATTTCGGAAAAGGTAGAAGCCAAGGCCAAGCTGTCCAGCCACACCGTCTCTGGTGGCCCCTGGGGCTCCTGGCTCTGTGATCCCGGGGCAGAACCGTGGGACTGGTCTCTAAGAGTAATGTCCCTGCTCGAGATACAGGCTTGTCATGAAAGTCCATTCATTCAGCAACCATTGAGCATTATCCAGACGCAAAGGCATTGAGAGGACTCAAACATGCAGTTACCCTGGGTTTTACAAACTGGAGCTGCTGTCACTGAGGACAGACTTGCTACCTCTAGAAGATGGGGGGGGGTGCTGTTCTCAGGGTGCTGCCCAGTGGAAGTCAGCACTCTACTTGGGGCTGCAAGTGAAGAGGAAGGAGAAAGCCAAGTCTGGGTATCTGGGGAGCTCAGTGCTCAGAGGGGCATCAGGGACAGACAAAGCAGGAGTTGTGGTTCCAGGACAGCCAGAGCTACATAGTAAGGCCCTGTCTCAAAAGAAAAAAATAAATAAATAAAATAAAATATAATCAAAATACACTGGGAGAGGTAAGCATAGAAACACAGGCCTGTGATCCCTGTTTTCAGGAAACTGACTGAAGCAGGAAGGTCACAAATGACCTGAGCTACCCAGTCAAACACAATCTCAAAGAACAGTAGGATTTAGGTAAATAGTAAAAATCTCCTTCATGGGGCCTCTCTAGCTAGAAGGGCAGTATGAGGCTGAGGATCTGTCAGTATAGGCCAACCCAGAGCTACAACTGCTGTGTCTTGAGAAGAAGGCAGAGCTTGGACAGCCTGAGGTATCTGGAATGTTCCTGGCAGGTGTGGACTAGGGGCCTGGCCCTCGGAGCCTAAGAAGATGTGTACCCAGATTAAGCACTGCCCTCCCCACAGGGGACTTAGCTGGGCCCCTTTCCTAAATGGGTACAGCTTGGGGACAGAGTAGGTGTGCCTCTGTTCTGTAACCATGGAGATAAACAGAACACCCCTGACAGACAGGCCAGGTCCAAGGAAGGCTTGTCCTCAGGCTGGGGCAACCTCTGTCTGCAGCAAGGATGCCATCTTCAATCTCAACTGCCAACACTTGAGCAGGAAGAGGCTAATTTCTGCATTCACCATTCACACACACACACACACACACACACACACACACACACACCACAATAACAACAACAACAAAAATACTGGGAGTGTGTTCAGGGTTTAGCACCTGCCTAACATGTATGGGCCTAGGAGTCAATCCCCAGCAGGACTACACACACACACACACACACACACACACACACACACACACACACCACAGTAACAACAACAACAAAAATACTGGAGGTGTGTTCAGAGCTAGCACCTGCCTGTCCTCACCGGTGTCCGTCATTGTTACATGACCACACCTCCCAGAGAGGACAAGGAGGCAGGCAGTATGTTGGGAGTCTCCAAGGTAAATCCTGTTTCTTTTACTTTTTGGGGTGGGGTTCGAGACAGGATTTTTCTGTGGCTTGTAGGTAATCCTGGAACTAGCTCTTGTAGAATAGGCTGGTCTCAAACTCACAGAGATCTGCCTGCCTCTGCCTCCCGAGTGCTGGGATTAAAGGCGTGCACCACCACCGCCCGGTCAAATCCTGTTTCTTTAGGACTGGAGGAAACTGATATGGGAGAGCAATGGGTGGTCTCTGATGCAGACCCCACAAGGCTTGTGTCAGGCACCACGTAGTAAAGAGCCTTCGATGCTGTTGAGACAAACCCCAGCCTCGTGTGTGTTAAGAAAATGTTCCACACTGAGCCTGCACCCCAACTCCCTGCTCAGACTTTTAAGGTTCCTTGGGTAAATTAACTGAGAGCTAAAATTAAGAACAGAAAGCCAGATGTGGAGGCGCATGCCTGTAATTCCAACACTCAGAAGGCTGAGCTCTTAGGATCATGTGAGACCCTGTCTCCAAAGAAGATAAAGGAGGAGGTGGGGAAGAGGAGGTAGAGGAAGAGGGAGGGAGATGGAGGAGGAGGGAGGAAGGAGAGGAGGAGAGAAGGAAGGGGAGACGAAGGGGGAGAGAGGAAAGGGGGAGGAGAGAGGGAGAGAAGCAGCAGCAGCTAGGCTTGGTGGCTGTACACCTGTGATCCACCACTTGAAAGATGAGGACAAGAGTATTAGCAATTCATGGTCATCCTCGGCTACACCTCAAAATTAAGGCTATCCTAGGCTACCTGAGAACCAATTTCAAAACTTCAATAACTAAATAACAGTAATTATAATCTCTGCCCTGAGGAGTTATAGAGTGAGGTTGTAGGGCTCTCATTGGTACAGGGCCAGCCCAGTGTACTCCCAGGCCCCAGGAAAGGACGGCACTGAAGGTTCCCTGGATGTCGCCAGCTGGTGAGCAGCACATTATTGGGGCTGGAATCGGCCTGAGAAGCTCAGTGTCCTCCCAGCTCACCACAGCTACTGTGTCTCCACAGGTACAAGAATGACATCCGGATCGATCCCCGCCTCTTTCCAGCCGGCAAGTACCGAATCACCAACAACTATGGGCTGCTGACCCTGGAGATCAGGAGGTAAAACCACAGACCCAGTGTGGCCAGCACCACTGAGACCAAAGCAGAAGTCTGGTGCCCGGGTTTCCTCATCCTCAGAAGGCGTGTAAGACCAGGGGAAACTTTGGGGTCCAGTAAGACAGCTCTTTGGAGTGTCAGGGAACAGAGGGACACCAAGGGACTCTTGGCTTGCTGATTGGGCCAGATGGGCACACCCTACTGCCTACTCTGTCATCAGGGTACCTTGGACAGGAACCAGCCGTGCTTTTTTTGGGCACACACAGGGCTGATCTGGCTGGTGACGAGACCCAGGCCTGACACAGAAGATTCGGGCATTGTGCCTGGCTGCATGGACTGGCACGAGGCCTCAGCTAGTTTGTCGCCCTGTGTGAAAGGAGGCAGCCCTGTGCCTGGTTTTTGACAGGCAGATGTCAATAGGGCAGGAGGCAGTGCCTGGAAAGAGGCAAAAGCAGCCACAATGAGCTTCAGTTGCTGTGTGTTTCTGGGAGAATCCCTTCACCTCTCTGGTCTTCTACAGTCAATAATGAATGCAGTACGGAACACGATACTTTCAAAGCCCTTTCCTTTAGGCTGATGGTGTAGCCTTAATTTTCCAGGGGGACCCAGTGAGCAGCCTAGGGTCTTCCCCACCAGGCTCTCTTCCCACCCGGTCTTTCCCATCTGCTCCTTTTCAGATGTATGACTGAGGACTCGGGCACCTACACTGTGTTGGTGAGGAATGCCTACGGCCAGGCCTCTTCCTTCGCCAAAGTCCTCATCCGCTGTAAGTCCACCCATCCCTGCCCAAGGCCAGCAGACAGCCATGGACCTACGGTCGCACAAGAGGAAAGGGCTGTGGTGGCTGAGATTGGGAAATGGGGGGGGGGTTCTTTGGACTGAGAGAGCCTCCTCCCTCAGACTAACAAGGACAGCTAGGTGAGTCGATGGCATAAGCATGACAAGGCAGGGAGCTCTGTCCCTGGAAATTGGTGTGGAGAGCCACCAGGAGGAGAAGGAAGGCAGGTCTTCCCCTGAGCACTCCTTATGCGTCAAGCATATACACTCTCTCTCCTGCGCTGGTCTTGAACTTAGCTCTGCCTACAGGGTCCTAACATGCATGGACCAGTCACTAAATTTTGTGTGAATGAACTATGTGGATGGTCTGGAAAAGGAGGACTACCCTCCAAGTGGATGACAGAACAGACTAGGTTTCAGGCCTCAGTGCTCCTTGACAGACCTCCATGGAGGACCTAGCCAGCTGTTCCTTGTCTACCCATCTCCATGAGCATGTTGGAGCCTGATCCAGATGAGAGCCTCCAAGAGGGTGGCCTGGTCCAGGAACACAGACAGGGAATGTCCAAGCCCTCCTTATGCCCTGACCCACTGTCCCTCTTGCCTTTCTCGTGTGTATTTCCCTACTGAATGTGTCCCCTCCTATATGCTGTCCCATGAACATTCAAAAATCACAGCTCACAGCAGATCGGACACTCAGACATCAGCCAGACCTGGGTTCCCATCCTGGCTCTGCCCCAGCTAGCCGTGTGGGCCTGGACAAGCCGCCTAGCCTCTCTGAGGTGTGGTTTACTTGCCTATACAACGCGGTCCTGCTTTCTGCCTCAGACGCTTGTGACCATTCGGTGAAACGATGCAGACGCACTCACTACTCCTGGGAGAGGGAGCTGCCCTCTGTCCCTCTGTGAATGCTACGCCTGGCCTTCAGGGCTCTGGAGTGAGAGGCCCCCAGACGGTGTATTCTCTCTCTCTCTCTCTCTCTCTCTCTCTCTCTCTCTCTCTCTCTCTCTCTCTCTCTCTCTCTCTCTCTCTCTCTCTCTCTCCCTCCCTCCCTCTCTCCCTCCCCTTCTCTCTCTCCCCCCCCTGTGCGTGTGTGCGTGTGTGTGCGTGTGTGTGTGTGTGTGTGTGTGTGTGTGTGTGTGTGTGTGTCCCACCCAACCAGGGCAGCTGTCCAGCCCTGCCCTCTTGACTGTCACAATCCTTGCTAAACTGTCCTTTGCAGTCCTACCCTCTGTACATTCCTGAGATAGCTCTTGGGAGGCAGCTGTCCCCGTCACCCATTCTGGTTCTCTATGTAGACATTTGAGCTGCCCCATAGGCCGTGCCCAGAGTGAAGGCCAAGGTCACACACTGGTCATACACTACACCCTCCCTCCCTCTTTCCATACTCCTGCCCTCCCTCTTTCCATCAAGGCCAGCAATTCAAGAATCCCTGCCCGAGGCATTAGCTCTCAGATACTACTGCTGCCCTCTGTCATCTCCATGGTGACATAGGTGGGGGTGTCTCTGTGCATGTTCCTGTGCTGGGAGACAGGACCCTGGGGTCTAACACTGAGTCTCCCACCAGCTCTGTGTACCACCTGGAACCTGCCCCTACCCTTTCAGGACCTCACTCTGGGGACCAGGGTCGTATCATGCTCGGGCTGCTGGGGCTAGCTGGGTGACACTGCCTCGGTTTCTCCATCTATGAGGATTGTCGGTTAAGTACTAGGGCAACTGCTCTTAGCTGTCTCTAGGGCTCACATCTGTCTCACTCTGAACCTCCAGTCTCTGCCAGTGATGATACCTCCAGGAAGCCCAGAGTCTCTGACGGGGATTGCCCCCTTTGAGGACAGTGTGATCCTGTCAGCAAGTCCAGACAGAGGGGGAAACCCAGCATTTATGAAGCACCTACTATGTGCAGGGTGCTGAATTGGGACTTTATTCATAGAAACCAGTTTGTTCATAACCCACACCATCAGGGAGCAACCACAGCTCCCATTTTACTGGTGAGGAAACTGGGCACAGGCACGTAAATGACTTTCCCCAGAGGAACTGCAGGGATCACTAACAAGCCAGAGCTCACATCCACACCCAACACCACGTCCCCAAATGTATAGGATTGTGAGGTCTGAGTCCTCTCCAGCTGTGTTTGCCTTATTTTTGCAGCTTACCTGGAGAAAGACGCTGGGTTCGATTCAGAGATCTTTAAACGTAAGTGGGTTGGGGATGAGAACGTGGTATCTGGGATCCCCGTGACCTTCTCAGAACTGCCACTGTTGCCCGCAAAGGCTGTCACAGGCGCAGATCCCCAACCGACATGCTGACTTACATGGTTCCCTCCTCCTACCCCAGTACATCTTTCCCTGCTGATGCAACTTTGAGAACTGTGAATCCTGACCCAGAGGAACGGGAACAGGCCAGAAGAGTCCTCACTCCCATTCAGACCCTGGGACAGGCCAGTGTCTCAAAAGACTTTCATCTCATGCTTCTGTCCCCACCCAGGATCTATGTTTGGCCCCAGCGTGGAATTTACATCGGTGTTGAAGCCAATCTTTGTCCGAGAGAAAGAGCCCTTCTCCCTGACTTGTTTGTTCTCAGACGATGTGTTAGAAGCTGAGCAGAGAATCCAGTGGTTCAGAGACGGTGAGGCCATGGCCTTCTGAGGCAGAGCTCCACCCCCTCCCAAAGCAGGGGCACCCTCCCACCCCACCCCTACCTCACCCCCCACCCCACCCCCGCCTCACCCCCCCACCATGGGAGTCCGCCATGCCCCTCCCCCAGGCAGTGCCAGAGAAGTGATGGGCACAACCAAGTGGGGTCACGAGTTGCCTCGTTTCTTCTCCTGTTGCTACAACACCCTGACAATAGCAGCTTAAGGGAGAAAGGGTTGATTTCAGCTCACAGCTCAAGGGTTCAGTCTCCCATGGCTGGATGCCAGAAACATCTGGTGGTCATATCCCATCCACAGCTAGGGAGGCAGCAGAGAGTGGGTGATGGATGCTAGCTGCTGCCCAGTGCCCTTTTCTGCTTAGACAGTCCAGGACCCAGTCAGGGGAAGGTTCTGCTCCTGTGGCACCTCAATGAATGCAGTCTAGATAATCCCCCACAGGCACACCCTGAGCTCACAGTCTTACCCTTAAGCATCCCTAGTCTGATGGAGGAGGCTCAGTCCGGTCCTTAGGAATGCCTACTCTGAGGAGAAGAAACAGTCTGATGGAAGGCACCAGACCCATCCCTAGGAGATGGCTGTCCAGGGAGGATCATGGCTGCTTCTTGAGGTGCCCTCAGTCTGAGGGAGGTGATCAGTCTGCCCTCAAGAGCACCATCTCTGGGGATGTTAGGAGCATAGTTCTCTCCAGCTCTTAGAAATCACCCTCAGATTTGCTCCAACTCCTGTCTTGTCTCTACCTGCCCCAAGAGCAACATGGCCCACTTTGGACTCCAAGACTCCACTCTGAAGTCAGGTCCAGGAGTGGGTAGAGACAGCATGGACTTAGGGAGCTGTGTGTCAGAGAAGCCATATAGCCACTGTTAGTGAGGTCTACCCACGTGGCTGTGGTCAGGTACCAACTTCATGTGTCACCTCCACCCTGGAATGAGCAATGATGTTTAAGACAAAGGGACCAGAGGCCAAGGCCAGGGGATAGACAGGCTGTGTAGCTCACCCCAGGCTTTTTGAAGACGGTGTATGAGCAAGTGTACATACATGTGTATGTGTGTGTATGCATGTGTGTGTTCAAGATCAAGAGCTCCAGGGTGGCCCAGAGAAAGACTAGAGCAGGCTACTCTGAGGACAGAAGGCAGCTGGCCCTCTGGTCCTGACTGTGGCCCGGCCTGCAGCTTAAGGACAAGGAGCACAGTCTCCCCCCCCCCATGCCCTTACCCTGAGCCCAGGGAGGTAGCACCTGTTGGGGGTGGGGTGGAGGAGCTCTGTGGACAGCTGCAATAACAAGACCTATGTGTTTTCCCAAACCTGTCCATCATTCAAAATAGAGTGCTAACAGGAGGGAGGGACCTTGGAGACGAGAAAGGACTGTTCTCGAAGGCAGCTCAGGGCAAGGCCATTCCCAGAGCCCCACTCAAGGTCCTCCTCACAGATCCCCGAGTCTCCCTGCTAAGCTCTGTCCTCTTGAGCAGCTCTCTGCCCACCTCGCTGTGTGAGACCCTGGCCCTTGACTGAGCTCGCGTCTCTCAGTCAGTTCACTCCCACATTAAAGTGCCAGTCGTGGACTTTTGATAGTGTGCTTGCCTGTCAAGCCTGAAGCCCTGGCTTCCATCCCCAGGACCACATAAACAAATAGGGCATGAAAGCATATGCCCGTCACCCCGGCACTCAGGAGGCAGAGGCAGGAGGATCAGAAGTCTGATGGACACACAGGCTACATGAGAATTTATCTTTAAAAAAAATCACTATTTCCATCCAGTGAGTCTCCTGCTGAGTTGCCAGGCCTCATGCAGGCTTGTCTCTTTTTCCCACAGAACTCCTAGTTCCTCACCTGCTTATTATCTTCCTAAGCCTTTAGTCTCCCCTTGAGCCCTGATCCCATCCTCCAAATCTCTTAGAGGAGAGTTTAGAGTCCACAGTGACAGATTTCTGAAAGTCCTCAGTGATATCCACCTCTACCACCAACCCGAGCCTCAGCCTGCAGCCACACAAGTTCTCTCTATCTATCTATCTATCTATCTATCTATCTATCTATCTATCTATCTATCTATCTCTCTCTCTCTCTCACGCACACACACACACACACACCTGGTCTGTGCCTCTGGAGCCCGGAGCTTCTCTGAGCTCCTGGGTGAGGCCAGGATCCCCCATTAGCTCACACTGGGCCATCTTCCCCTCCACAGGCAAGCTACTGAGGTCTTCAACACGCAGGCAGATACTCTACGCAGACCGCCAGGCGACTGTGAAGGTGTCCTGTGCCTACAAGGAGGACGAGGGGCTCCACACAATCCGGGTTTCCTCCCCCTTTGGGCCGCAGGAGCAGAGTGCTTATGTCTTTATAAGAGGTAAGGGGTGGTGGGTCAAGAGGGGCAGCTGGAACCAGAGGCCACAGCTCTGCAGGGGAGGCTTCAACCAAGGCCCCTGGGTTCCTCTGCTATAAGATGAGGATGTTGGGTTGGTCTCTACAGGTCCCTGCAGTAGCATCCTGTGGGTCCTAAGAAGCACAGCCAAGCCTCCACGCTCTCCTATAGGAGACATGGTGGGGACCGGGGGGAGGGAGGGTTCTGTACAGTGTTGGGAGGTTCTGATCACTGAATTCCGTTTCTGGTGTCTTAACCCTGCCTGTGTTCAACCCCTGGCTTGGTCACTCTGTGAGCTGGGTGTCCTTGAACGTGTTATTTTCCCTCTGTGAGACTCGGTTTCTCAGTTCGGAAACGGAGGTTACTCTGGAGTTCCCAGATTAATTGTGTCAGATGTTCAGGTGCCCAGTATGAAACGGCACCTAATAAAAGATACGACGCTCCTCCCCCAGATGCTGCTGACTAGTGGGAGCCAGGTTAGACCCCAGTCACTGGTCTTCGACTCAAGGGAAGAGGAGGCCAGACAGGGGCTGGGGATGGTCTAGCTGGCAAATGGTCTCAGGCCAAGGATGAACCCCTTTTCTTTCCCTGTCCTGGGGTTCAGATGCTGCAGCTGAGAAGCCAGGAGCCCCAGGTTCCCCGTTAAATATCCAGTGCCTGAATGTGCATAGAGACTGCCTGACCCTGACCTGGACCCCACCCAGCAACACCCGGGGTAGCGTCATCACTGGCTACTCCATTGAGCTGTGAGTTGCATTCTGGTGTGGCAAAGCCCCGTAGACAGAATAATGACAAACAACTTGGTGGGGGGATACAAAAGGTAGGAAAAATATAACTGGTGTTAGGTCTGTCATCCCTGATTCTCAGAAGAGGGCTAGGGGCTAGCAGTAAGAAACAGTTTAGGGACAGTTTTCCAAATCTCTTTCACACTGATGCCTAGAATTCTCGGACAAAACTGTTAAGTACTCTGACGCCTGTGTACCTTTGAAATTGGTGGCTAGGTCAGATCCCAGAGAGAGACACTCTTGAGAGGGGGGTAGGATGGATGGAGACACAGAACTCCCTACCTGCTTCATGTGCTGTGAATACTGAAGCCGGTGCTAGGGAGAAAACCAGGCCTAAGAGAAGAGGAACCGGTGACTTCTGTGTGTGCCCGTGCTCGGCTCTCTAGCTCTCTAAGTACGCAGGGACAGAAGGGAGGCAGAGCAGCAGAGGGTGAAGCTCGTGCTGTGGTGTCAGGGACACAACAAGCTTTCCAGAGGCACTGGATCTTCCGGTCATGGTGGTAGATGGTGAAAGGCCTCTAGGCCCAGGCAGGAGCAAGGCTTCTAAGTGGGGGGAGAAGCCACGCCCAGGCAGAAGGCAGCTGTGGCCTACCTGCAGGAAACAGGCCCTGTAGGGGCTCAGACTGTGGAGAGCTGAAAGCCAGGCTCTGTTTCCACAGATGCCAGGGTGATTCGGAGGAATGGGTGACCTGCCATATGGCCCCTGGGGGAACGTGTCGGTGCCCCATCCAAGGCCTCACTGAAGGGCAGAGGTATCGATTCCGCGTGCGTGCCATCAGCAAGGCCGGCAGCAGCCTGCCTTCCAAAGCCTCAGAAGCAGTTGTCATGGGTGACCATGATGCGGTCCAGAGGAAGACAGGTGAGTATGGAGATCCTGAGGGGACACTGCGGGGACCCGGTCAGGACACTCAGAATAGACTGTCTCACTAGGAAAGAGGTGGCCTGGTTCCCATGGTCACTGCGGTGGCAAAAACACCTAGAAAATATAACATAAGAAGGGAAGGGCTCTCTGGGCTCCCAGTCCCTCACAGCAGGAGAGCCACGGCCCTAGGAGCACAGAGCAGCTGGTGGGGAAGCAGAGAGAGAGAGAGACCGCCACCACGGGCATCTCAGTCTCTTCTTTTTACTAAGTCCAGAACCTCAGCCCACAGAATGGTGTCACACGGCAGCTCACAACTGTCTGTAACTCCAGTTCCAGGGGACCTGACACACTCACACAGACACACATGCAGACAAAACACCAATGCACATAAAATTTTAAAAAATTAAAAAGAATGGTGACACACACATATACACACACACACACCACATTTAGGATGCACCTCTCCACTTCATTTGGCCCCCTCATAGGCACATTTGTTTGTTTCCATGGTGATTGTAAATCCTGTCAAGTTGACAATCTAACACCAACCATCACAGGGACACACAACTCAACCCCCAGGAAGCCCTAGCCTGAGATTTAAAAAAAAGGCACTGCCCAGCTCTAATTTGAAGAGAGCTCACAGTCTGATTCTTAAATACCCTTAGTCTGGTACAGGAGGCATAGGACTGCTTTTAGGAACACCTGCCCTGAGGGGGAAGAAACAGGTCGTCTGGTGAGAGGCACCGGACCCGTCACTGGGAGACACAGCTGCTACCTCAGGTGCCCCCAGTCCAAGGGAGGCAATCACTCTGTCCTCAGCCCCACCTCTGGGGGTGTTAGAGACACAACTCTCCCAGCTCTTACAGGTTTCCATGCCTTGGGTTTGCTCCAACTCTATGAAGTCTATGCACACGGCTTTTGTGTCTGTCTCCATCTGCCCCAAGAGCAACAGGGCCCACTTTGGACTCCAAGAAAGCCAGGCCCAAAGGCCCACTCCTGAAGCTACATGACCAGGAATGCCAGGTCAAGCAGAACCAGGCAGGCCTGATACAGACCCTGAGGTGACTAGCTGGCTACTGACCCAATCCCCTGTGCTCCTTTCTGCCTCCTAGAGATTCCCTTTGACCTGGGCAGCAAGATCACCATCAGCAAGAATGATTTCGAAGGTACGTGAGACCGACCTTCCCCAGCTGTGCCCCTGGAGCCAACATCCTCGAAGCTGGGACATGCGTTCATTGGCTAGCAGAACAGGGAAGCTATTGTGTTAAGGATGTGGGAGAATCTACTCACAGAAAACCAAATATGGGGTCCCCGTAGCCTGTCTTGCTGTGGAATAAATGACTTACAAGGAGGAGCCCTGGGCAGGGCCTCAAAGGACCAGCATCTGGGGCTGGCTCTGTCTAGGTTTGCTGGGTGAGCTGGGACCATCTTCTGCCCCCCTCCCCCATCATGCTCCTAGCACCCTCTGTGGAATGCGGGGCTGAGATTAGGGGTCTTTGAGGGCACACTCATCTCTCTCTTAATGACTCTGGATTCCAGACGCTGTGACCATTCCCTCAGCCCCAACCAATGTCCACGCCAGTGAAATCAGAGAGGCCTATGCAGTTCTGAGCTGGGAGGAGCCTCGCCCCCGAGGTCGAGCCCCACTGACTTACTCCCTGGAAAAGGTACAGATGGGACTGAGAAACAGCCCCAGGATAGCCTAAGACATAGGCAGCTGTGGGACCTGGGGTGGAGGCAGTGGAGAACCCCAGGAACAACTTTGGGGTCTTCAGACATGAGAATTTACAGCCTGGAAGGGCCTGAGTTAAGCCTTACTCTGAGACAGGAGGATGGACTATGTGGCCTTTTTGTGTTGAAAGCCAAAGCTCCCTAGATAATGCTCCCTAGGGTCAGTAACTATGATGAGATCCACTGGTTTCCTAGGCATCTCCCAACCTCCAGGTCAATGGCACAGGGACCTGGGACCCAGCATCCAAGGCCATGTTGGGTGGGAAGGGAGGCTTTTATTCACCAGACTGGGGCACTAGGTAAAGGTCCTCACTAGGGACAGAGATGGAGCAGGGAGACTGGGAAGGAGGGGGGAGGAAGGTGGCCCTGGCGGAAGAGGGTGGCCCTGGCGGAAGTGGGTACCTTCTTTCTGCCCAAGCAGAAGACAGCATTGATGGGATCCAGTCAAACCCAGACTCTGCTGTATGAGTCTGAGCCAAGCTCGCTGCAGCTCAGTGTCCTCCGTCCTGTATTGGAAAGTCTGCCCTGGGGAATGGGAGAGCATGTCACACATAGCCAAGGGTAGTACTGCGGCTCACTCACCTCCCCAAAGGCAGAGTCTGAGTTAGCAGACGACATAACAACTTAGCTGAATGCATGAATTTAAAACGTCCAGGGATAGCTGGGGGGGGGGGTGGCACACACCTTTGAGCCCAGCACTGAGGAGGCAGAGGCAGGTGCATCTCTGTAAGTTCGAAGCCAGCCTGGTCTACAAAATCTACACAGAGAAATCCTTTTTCAAAAAGAATCACAGAAAAAAGAGAGAGAGAGAGAGAGAGAGAGGAAAACACTTGAAGAAGTCTTCCATTGTCAACATCTGGCCTACACACACACACAGACCTACACGCAGACACATGTACACACCACAAACAAGCCCACAAGCATACACACGAAAGAGACACTTTGTTTCCTGGGCTCTGGAGTAAGGGCTACCTGGGTTCAAAGGCTGCCTCTGCTAATCAGTAGCAGTGTGACCTTGAGCGAGTCGTGTTACTCCTTCTGTGCCTCAGTTTCTAGTCTGGTACAGTGTTTATAATAACGATACATAATAACATAACAAGTAACACACACCTCGCAGGTCTGAGGTGTTTGTCATCTGAGGGTTCAGAGAACGGCCCCTGGCACACATGAAGTACAATGTAGCGTGCACTGATGCCTGTGGCAATTGTTTCGGTGCGTCCTAAACCCTGAAGGCTATGAGGACCTTGGAGAAGGAGAGCCAGGGAGACAGGGTCAGGGGGTCCTCACTGTGGCTTCCCACCCTCCATCCCACCAGAAGCTCAGGAGCAGTGGTTACCTTCTGAGCCCCTGATACAGCAGAGAATGAGCTGAACTGGTGTCGCCTACGCCCAAGTTTACGTGCCCCGTCCGCATCTTGCTGGGCGGGTGATTTCAGACACGTTATCAAAGAGTCTCAACACCTACATTCCCTCCCTGGTGTGGAAATTAACATCCATCTTGCAGGGATTTCCTGAGGATTCGTTGGCTGAGTCATCCATTCTCCCATGGGCTGGAACCAATCCTGGCCCTGGAATATGGTGAGGTGGGGAGGGCTGAGAGACAAGCAGAGGCTGTAAAAACGAGGACAAGAGTCCACTGTCTAGTAGGAATGGCTAAGGAATAAGACAGAAAACAGGGGAGGCCTCTGAAGTCTCATGTATGAATGGAGGCCTACCCAGAAGGTGAGCTCTTAGTAAGAGTCAAGAGTATTCCAGAACATTCCTGGTACAGGCTCCAGTAAGTACAAAGGCCTGGAGATAGGACCTGGGCCTCTGGAGGACAACAGGAAGACCTAGATATAATGTACTAGAGAAAGGAAAATGAATGGTGGCCAGATAGGTAGCAAGTCACAGGGAAGTGTCTGGTAACAGGTCAGAAGGACATGGGAGCCTGAAAGGGTTCTGAGCAGACAGGGGCCTGTTGCTATAAAAATCCACTGACAGCCACTGAGGAAAAGACTAGAGTGAGGCATGGTGGTGCATGCCTATAATCTCAGCACTGAGAAGATACCAGCAGGAGGATTCAAGAGTTCAAGGCCACCTTTGAATGAGTTCTAGGCCAGCCTGAGCTACATGAGACCCTGTCTCAAAAACCAAAGGGGAAGGCTGGGCATGGTGGCACACACCCTTAATCCCAGCACTTGGGAGGCAGAAGCAGGCAGATCTCTGTGAGTTCAAGGCCAGCCTGGTTTACAAAGCAAGTTCCAGGACCACCAGGGCTACACAGAGAAACCTTGTCTCAAAAACAAACAAACAAATAAAAAAAGGGGGCTAGAAAGATGTCTCAGCAGTTAGTAGTCCTGACTGCTCCATCAGAAGACCAGAGTTCAGATCCCAGCTCTTCACAAACACCTGTAACTCCACTTCCAAGGGATTGGTTGCACCCTGCTGGCCTCTGGGTACTCTCACACACAAAATAATAAAATAGAAATTTTTAACAACAACCACAAAAAAAAAAAGATACAAGAAATAAAGAGAAAGGAGAAAGGGGGAAGGAAGGGAAGAAAAAAAAAAGCTGAAGTCAGAATGGGAGGGGTCAGTGAGACTAGTTAAGTAATTCGAGCAGCAGCTAAGGCTGGCCTGGGCCACGGGTGTACTGGGGAGTTAGAACTGGACCCTGGATGTGTTTTGAAGGTGGTTTCGTGCTAAAGCGCAGGTTTGGGCCTATTGTGGCCCCATTGTTCCAATGGTCTGGACCCAAGGGACTGCAGGTATTAATGCCATTAACGCTGTGTGAGCCACACTGGAACTCACTGGAACTCACAGTTAGTGCTGGCCAGGACTCCCGTGAGGGGCTCCCCAGACATCAGAGAGATCAGGTGCCCAGGAGTCATCCAAGCTGCAGACAGCTGCTCTGAGAGCCTGCAGGGAAGAGCCCAGCCCACAACCAGGCTCCAGCAGCCACTAAACCAACGCTAATCTCTCTTACTCTCCAGTCCATCATAGGTAGTGGAACCTGGGAGGCCATCAACTCAGAAACACCCATCAAGTCCCCAAGATTTGCCCTCCTGGACTTGGAGAAAGGAAAATCGTATGTCTTCAGGGTGCGAGCCTTGAACCAGCATGGCATGAGCGATCCCTCTGAGCCCAGCGAGCCCATTGCCCTGAAGAGCAAGCCAGGTACCAAGTGATGCTGCTCCATGAAGGGAAGGCAGGCTATCCAGACTGTCAAACCTGGGATGGAACTCAGGCTTCAGCAAGAGCATTGCCCGCTTCCCTGCCACTGAAGCTGAAAAGCAATGTTTTGAGTTATCAGAAATTGCATTTTTCTGGGCAGCAGGCTTGGGAAGGGATGGGCATTGTCCCCAGATCAATGGTTCGCAGGTGACAGACTCCAACTGAGTTTAGCACAGGAGTGTGAGGAAGTGTCCTTCAGTTCTGAAGGTGTCCTGAGCCTCTTAAACGGATGGACTTCCTGTGCAGCCCTCACCCCTCACCCCTCTCCCCCTACCCACCCCCACCCCTGCCTTCCTCCACAAGTGGCCAGACAGTCCCATGTGAGAACTGCTCTCCAGGCAGACCTGGTGTTCTTACTTGCCACGCTTCCCATTCTGGGGTCCCTGGTGACTGTCACCCCAACTTCTGACTCCTCCTGAGTCTTCCCCCATGGCAGCTCCATCCCAATTTATCAAGGCCCCCATTCTTTCAAAGCCTCTGGAATCTGGGGTTCTCTGCTCTCCAAGAAGCTCCAAGGGCTCCCTGGAGCAGCCATCTTTCATCTCTTGAAAGATCTGGTGGCTGCAGATCTCAGCCGGAGAGCACTACAAAGCCCTGGATTTGCCCTGCTTCAATAATATATACATATATACATACATATATATAATATATATACACAAACATACATATTATGTGTAAATTGTATATATGTGTGTGTCATAGTCACTGTTCTACTGCTATGAAGAGACACCGTACCATGACCAAGGCAGCTCTTATTTAAAAAGCACTTAATTGGAGGCTTCCTTACAGCTTCAGAGGTTAATCCGTTATCACAATGGCAGGAAGGATGGCTGCATACAGGCAGACAGGGGCAGGAGAGAGGCTGAGTCTGGTACAGGCTTTTGAAACCTCAAAGCCCACCCTCAGTGACACACTTCCTCCAACAAGGCCACACCTCCTAATCCTTGTAATCTTTTAAAACAGTTCCACTCCCTGGTGACCAAGCATTCAGATATATGAGCCTACACATGCCCACATCTACACACACACACATACACACACATATATACATACACACATACATACACACATACATACACACATACACACATACACACACACATACACACACATATACATACACACATACACACACATATATACATACACACACACATATACATACACACATACACACATATACACACATACCACCATCCATTCTTCCATCTACCCATGAACACTTGTATATCTCAAAATGTACATACAAACAACCATCTATTTACTAAATCATGGGAGTCCCAACTCAAGCAATTTGGTCTTTGGGAACCATGAAAATCAGTAGAGAATTTTCAAGAAAAGAAAATCGAGTTGTTTTTTTTTCTTTTTGGTTTTTGTTTTTTTTTTAAGATTAAAGTTAAAGACTGGGGAAAGCTATCAAATTGGAGAAGAGTGGGAGGGAGGGAGAAAGGGAGGGAGGAGCGAGGGAGGAAGGGAACTGAGATTAATGTACAAGGCTTTGATGAGGAACAAGGTGACTTGTAGAACAGGAGAGTAAGTGTCAGGCACACTCAGCTTCGGCGGTTCCAAAGCCCTGTAGCCGGTCTGGAATCTAGCCACTGCCTTGACTGCTGTAGAAGTCCTCCCAAATCCCGTGCTCCTCCTCCTCACCTATCCTCTCCACCCCTATGTTTTTTAGCAACTCTCCCTCCACCAGCTCAAGTTCAAGCTTTCAGAGACACGCAGACCTCTGTGTCCCTTACCTGGGAGCCTGTGGAGGGTGGCGCAGAACTCCTGGGTTATTACATCTACTCCCGGGAAGCAGGAGCATCAGAGTGGCACACGGTGAACAACAAGCCCACCCTGGACACCAGGTAAGTCTATGTCACCTGCTCCTGGCCAGGACATCCCAGGCTGGCCACCATCTAAGCTCTGCAGTGTCCTGGGTTTTCCTAGCTCACTGCAATCCTGCATGTAACATGGTTGTGTGTATCGTTGCTTTAAAGATGGAGAAACTGAGGCACAGAGAGTTAAGGACCTAGCCAAAGCTCCTATAATAAGTGAAGTGGTGGGGGAGGGGAGGCATGCCTAGACCCAGAGGGTCTGTTTTAACACATCCATCCATTGAGAGCACTGTTGGCGGGAGTCCAAGGGTGGAGACCTGAGACAGGCATTCCATAGAGCTACAGGAAACGTGGTTGAAGAAAGGGAGGCCCACGGTTCCAGTTTCATCCAGAGGAAACAGGATAAGGAAGGCAGTTTCCTACAAGTCAGGGTTTCTCCCAAGGGCCTGGGATGATAATTCTCTAGAGGGTCTTTAAAGGGTTTCTCCAGCGCTGAGTCACAGCCACAGTGTAGACCACAGCAGATGCTGTTCTCCAATGCTGAGGCCAGCGTCCTGAGCATGCTTCCTCAGCAGCACTGGGCCGGAGGGAGGCTTCCTCCACCTTGACCTAGCCCCCTTTCAGACATCTTTGTGCCTTTTGTATGTTTGTTGAAGATGTGGCGGATGTGTGCATATTTGTGTTCATGTAGGTTTGTGCACAAGTGTGCAGGTCAGAGTTGACATTAGATGTCTTCCTTAGTCTCCACCTTCCTTTTTGCAAAATCTTTGTGTGTGTGTGTGTGTGTGTGTGTGTGTGTGTGTGTGTGTGTGTCTGTGCGTGTGTGTATGAATGCGGGTGCGCACATGACATTGAATACATTTGAAGGCCAGAGAACAGCCATTAATGTCAGTCCTCACCTTCCAAGTGGACTGAGTCAGGGTCTCTCATTCACTGCTGTGTATGCTAGGCTAGCTGGCCTGTAAGCCACAGGCCATTCTCCAATTTGTCCACCCACCCCCCCCACCCCCACTTCCCCACCCCCCACCCCCATTTAGGAGAGCAGAGATTACAGATTTTTTTTTGTGGCACTGAACCATCTCCCCAGCCCCACCTTTTAAATTTTTTTAATTATGTTTAACTTGCGTGCATGTAGAGGTCAGAGGACAGCCTGTGGGAATGAGTTCTCTTTTCACCACACGGACCCCAGAAGTCACACTCGGGTTGTCCGGTTCAGCCATTTGTCCAGCACCTCCTCTTATTCTTTGAGCAGGGTCTGTCTGTGATTCTTGAGTTCACTAATAGACTAGGCTGGCCAGTCAGTGGTCTGTCTGTAGTGATACAATGTTTATGATCTAATAAAGCCACTGGAGATCAGTTTGCAAAGCCAGCCACACTGGTTAGCTATAGACGCTAGATAGTGGTGATACACACCTTTAATCCCAGGACTCAGGAGAAGGGCAGATGGATTTCGCAGTCCAAGACCACCCTGGGCTACCGGAGAGTGAATCAGAGCTCACAACAACTTTAATCCCAGGATTTGAGAGGTATAAAAGGTAGAGGCTTTCAGTCTCATGAGTAGTCTCTAGCCACGTCTAGGAGAGAATAGCAGTCTGAGTGAATCTAAGGAACAGTGAAGTCAGGAGCAGTTTGAGGATTGCCCCTTTGGTCTGAACTGAGGTAGAGGTAAGAGCTAGTGGCAAATGCTTTGCTTTTCTGATCTTCAGTTTGAAGTTTGAACCCTAATATCTGTCTCTGGGTCTTTTATTTTTTGTGTTACATCTGTAGGGATGTACCCAGACACATGCACCCTGAGTAGAAGTTACTCGTATACACCACCACACACCACTTTTGCATTGGTGCTAGAGACCGAACTCATTTCCTCAGGCACGTGCAGAACACACTTTACCAACTACACTACCCCAAGTCCCTCATCTTTGCATGTGGGTGATAGATTCTGGAAGAATAGATATTCTTACAACCCCAAGGACATCCTCCATGTGCCATTTCATATATCACTGTGAGACGGGGGCAATATTTAGACTAGAACCGTTTACTCCTCTCTCGCTGGTGACATCCCACAAGGTGGCCAGATAGTGTCAGCTGTTTGGACACCCCTGAGGGCTGGACTTTTCTCTCCCAGGTTTGAGGTTCCAGGGCTGAGGACTGGGAAGGAGTATGAATTTTGCATCAGGTCGGTCAGCGAGGCTGGAGTTGGCGAGAGCTCAGCTGCGACACAGCCCATCAGGGTCAAGCAGGCTCTGGGTGAGTCCAGGTCAGGTCCAGCCTGCAATCCTCAGGGAAGCATGGCCAAGGCCATGTCTTGGAAAGTCTGATTGCAAAGGTCTCTTAAGGGAATGGGAGCTTTTTGTTCACTCTTTCCTTCAGGGAGGAAGTGACAGTGGCCTGAGGCCATGGTGAGTGGGAAACCTCCCAGGCTCAGAGACCAGATTCCAAGACACCCTTGAAGGGAGCAGACACAGCTGACTAAGGGGGGACTCCCAAATGAGGGTGGGCACCCACCAGGGGAGGCTTATCAGCTCCCTGGAGCCCCACTGCCCAATTCAGCCTCCCCAGGGAGCCCTCTCCTCAGTCCTTGCCTCCCACAGCTCCCCCATCCGCCCCCTATGACTTTGCACTCCTATCCTGTGGAAAGAATGAAATGGTCATTGGCTGGAAACCCCCCAAACGGCGTGGAGGTGGCAAGATCCTGGGCTACTTCCTGGACCAGCATGATTCGGAGGAGGCAGACTGGCACCCAGCCAACCATCAACCCTTCCCCAGCCGGGTGTACAAGGTGAGGCTGGAGTGTGACGGCAACCTCCAAGGCACAAAAGGCGTGGTGGGAACACCTTGGAGAGCCCCAGGCCCTGCCACCCAGAGGCCCCTAGAACAGCCGTATTGGAAGTCCCCGCAGGTCTCCTGATCTGGCTGTCCCACTGCCCAGGGCCTCCTACTTCTCTGTCCAGCCTCAGCTTCCACAGTCTAACTTTCCACCTCTGCAGGTCATCAACCTTCGAGAAGGCCATTTCTATGAATTCCGAGCCCGGGCAGTGAACTGGGCAGGTATTGGCGAGCTGTCGGCACCCAGCGGCCTGTTTGAGTGCAAAGAATGGACAATGCCCGAGCCAGGTGAGACAGAGCCTGAGGGCCAATGCCAGACTTGTCCACACGCCCTCTCCTCGTAGCAACAGCACAAACGCTGCTGCTCACCCTGGGCGTCCTGCCTTGCTCTGTTGGTCGAGATCCCACATTCTGCACAAGCTGACCCTGTGAGTCGGTGGTTCTCAACCTTCCTAACGCTGTGACCCTTAATACAGTTCCTCATGTTGTGGTGATCCCCAGCCATAAAACTGTTTTCATAACTGTAATTTTGATACCGCTATGAATCATAATGTAAATATCTAATATGTAGGATATCTGATATGTGGCCCCTGAAAAAGAGCCGTTCAACTCCCTCTCCAAAGGGATCATGTCCCATGGTTAAGAATCACTGATATAAGCCAGGCGGTGGTGGCGCGCGCCTTTAATCCCAGCACTCGGGATGCAGAGGCAGGCGGATCTCTGTGAGTTTGAGGCGGGGCTGGACTGACAGCCTCCAAAACAATTCGGAGAAACCCTGTCTCGTAAAACCAAAAAAAAAAAAAAAGAAAGAAAAGAATCACTGATATAAACCCTGACACAGACTATCTTATGCCTGCCTCAGAGGATCCCTAACCAGACCACACCTGGTCCTAGCTAAACTGTCACCCACCTTGACGTCATCTGATCTCTTTCTGGCCACAGACCTATCATTAACCCCAAGGCCACACTGTTAGGACAGCCAGGCTCACCCAAGACTTTCCATCGACCACCCCCAAACCCAATCCTAGACAAACAGGGACATCAACCACCCTGAACTCTGCTCCTGCAACCTTACTGGCTCACCAATGAGCCTCTTAGCTCTCTTAGGAAGAAACAGTCCCTGCCAGATCACCCTGCATGTCTCAGTTCTGTGTTCCACATAAAACCTTCCCCGGATGCTGGGAATAGCTCAGGGGTGGAGCACTTGCTAGCGTGTAGCATGCCCTGAGCATCACAAGCTGGGATGCAATTACAAGCAGCTAATGTCAACTGGGTATTTACTGTGTGGGTGCTCTCTGTGAATGACCTCCCTGCTGCTCTCTACAGCTCCATATAAGAACTGTTGTTGCCTCACTTTAGAGGTGAGGAAACAGAAACACCCAGGCTAAATAACTTCAAGTCCCCATCACTGGGAAGGGTAGAGCTGGGACAAGACCCTAGCAATCTGTCTCTGGATGTCATAACAAGTACACCCTCCATGTTTGACATCAAAGGGGCAAAAGTCTCAGATGGGGGTGGGGGAGGTCAGGGAGGGTTCTGGAAGGAGGTGATATTGAGCATATTTTTTAAACAGTTAGCCAAGCTTCGGATCCAAGGTCAAGTGTTGTGTGACCAAGGCTGGCTAGTCTTGCTGTGCCCAAAGGAGGCGCTTCCAGACTTAGTGATGACTGACAAACTCTCCAGCTTGCACACTGACTTGCACAACTGGCCACCCACCTGTCCGGCTAGAAGACTGTGGGGTAGATGGATGGATGGCTAGCTGTTGCCTGGTTGAACAACCCCCACATTTCTGCCCGTATTTCATCCTCCACAGGCCCCCCATATGACGTGAGGGTCTCTGAGGTGCGGGCCACCTCCCTGATGTTGCAGTGGGAGCCCCCACTCTATATAGGAGCTGGGCCAGTCACAGGCTACCGTGTCAGCTTCCAGGAGAAAGGCTCTGAGGAGTGGAAGCCTGTCACCTCAGACGTCACCTCTGGTACCCACCTCAGGGTGAGTTTCCGCCCCCCCCGTCCCCTGTGTCACTGCATTTGGCAGAAGTCAATCGTAATAACGAATACCAAGAAAAAAGGATCCTCGTGAACAAATGAAGATATACAGGGAAAGTCTCTACAGCCACTAATGTCACTATCAAATGGCGGCTGAAATGTTTAGATGGTACTAGGTCTACTAGACACGGGTACAGATATAAGGTAGGTCAAATGAAGAGGTAGAAGTCCAACAGATTCTGGGTCAGTCTCCCCACAGCAGGGTCATCCGACGCATGGTGGATGGTCTCCTTACCCTTTTAAGTGTGTTGGCTCAGGCCGGGGCAGATGGCCTCAGTGACTTGGCTCTGGTTTCCACCTTGAGATGGTTGGCTGCTACTCAGTAATTCACTGACCACTTCTTGACACCTACTTACTGCCAGATCTGGACCAGGTCCCAGACATTTTAAGCTAAACATGAAACGGGCATTGGTGACAGGAGATATCAGAAGGATTCTGGGAGCTCCAGGGAGGGAAGTCAGAGCCACTCCCTGGCATCCTGGAATAGGTCACAGCTGAATAAGGAAGCCTGAGTTGTAATCAGTTAGACCAAGAAGGATGTGGGGCTGGGGTGCTCAGGCAGAGACCTCAGCAAGAGCCAAGGCCAGGGACCCTGGGGGAGCTCTAGAGTGAAAGTCACTTATGTAAGAGTAAGAGGGCAGAATCTTAGGCACACTCAAAGACTTTAGGTCATAAGCATCAGAATTGGAAATTGACCCTGAAGGCCACTGGAAGATTTAGGCATAGTCAGATTAGCAGAGGTAAAGACAGACTGGAGAAAGGTCCAGGGGGCAGAGATACCTTCAAGGGAACTGTGGAGTTAATCCAAAGGAGCAGAAATAGTTTCCATCAAAGCACAGCTGGGACATGGACAGGAGAGCCTCCTTCAAGATGAGTTGAGGAGCCATACTTGGCAGTGTCATCTGTAATCCCAGCTACTCTGAAGGCAAAGGCAGGAGGGTAAGAAGTTGGAGGCCTGTCTGGGCTCCAGAGTAAGTTCGAGGCCAGCCTGGGCAGTGTATGAGACCCTGTTTCAGAATAACATATTAGAGATGAGGTTGTGCTCAGGTAGCAGACCGCCTACCTAGGATGTGCAAGGCCCTGGGTTTGATCCCTAGCACCATGTCAGCCAGGCATGGTGGCTTGCAATCTCCTTGCCCAGGAGGTGGAGGCAGAAGGATCAGAAGTTCAACGTCATCCTTGACTATATGCCTGGCATACATGAGACTGTTTCCAAAAATTAATGAATTGATTACTTTTGAGACAGGGTATCACCGTGTGGCTCTGGCTAGCTGGAATTTGTATGTAGACCAGGCTAGTCTCAAACTCATAGAGATCTGTGCCTCCATACTGGGACTATGGGAACGCACCATCACATCCAGCTAGATTATTTTTCAGTGTTAGGAATGTAATTCAGTGGTAGAATATTTATTTAGCATGCATGAGGGCCTGAGTTCAATCCCCAGTGTCATTAAGGGGAAGAAAGAAAAATAACTTGTTTAGGCCTAAGAAAGGAGCACGGAAAGTGACCCAGATCTGTCTCAGAGCCTCTGAGGAGAAGGCAGCATCTGTAAGAGATGAGGAATGCAGGAAGGAAGAGGAATTTCTAGATGGGAGGACAGTGAGCTGTGTCCAATCAGGTTCCGTGCATCAGTGCCCAGAGGACAAAGCCAGACGGAGAGGCCAATAGAAAACTGGAACTCTCAGGCAGGAATGGTGGTGGTGCCTGTGATCCCAGTACTTGGGAAGTAGAGACAAGAGGCCAGTCACAACTGCATAACCCAGTTAAAGCTCAGCCTGAGTGCCAGGCAGTGGTGGCACACACCTTTAATCCCAGCACTTGGGAAACAGAGGCAGGCAGATCTCTGTGAGTTCGAGGCCAGCCTGGTCTACAGAGTGAGTTCCAGGATAGGCTCTAAAGATACACAGAGAAATCCTGTCTTGAAGAAAAACAAAATCAGCCTGAGCTACAAGACCCTGTCTTAAAACAGAACATGAAAGCCAAGAATGAGGATGGTGAGTCCCAGGCTAGCCTGGACAGCATAGAGGCCATATCTCAAAACAAAAGCAAAACCCACCCTGGGTCCCAGGAAAAGGGCATATTCCCGGCCTGCCCCAGCCCAGAAGGGGTCCCAGCAGCTCTTGACGGTGTCTGGGCTGACGCACCCTTCCTGTCCTCAGGTCTTGTTCTCCCACCCCAGGTATCTGACTTGCAGCCAGGAAAGCAATACATGTTGAGAGTCCAGGCCATGAACTCAGCCGGTCTAGGACAGCCATCAGTACCCACCGACCCTGTGCTCCTGGAAGACAAGCCAGGTAAGATGACCAGGGAGTACCAGGCTGCACTGCAGGGCTGGGGGCTGGGTGCAGGAGACGCTCGGAGCAAAGGGGGAGACCCATGGGGAGGCCTGGATCACTGGTTTTGTCCCACCCACTGGCATCTCAGTCTTCCCTTCTGGCTTGTTCCCCTCACCACCCTCTTCCACAGACTGTGAGGGTGTCTTCCGTGATTTCTATGCCGTAGGCATGAGCTATGCAACTCCTTGAGCTGATAGCCAGCTCCGTGTAGCTTTGCCTCTCGAGCTCACAGGGCCTATGGTCTCCAGCCATGCGTGCCAAGAGTTGCACCTAGGTCCTCACACAGTAGAACTCACTTTGTTCGAGTGCAAAACAATTAAACCACCAAGGTCCACAGGTCGCAGACACCAGACTCACCCAAACGGCTAACTGTAAAGTATAACCTGTTAAGTATTCAACTCGCAAACACTCGGTGAGGTCCAAATGCACCAGGGACACAGCTGTGGGTGAGGAAGCAGATCTCTGCTGTTGTGATGGGGGAGATGGCTGCAGGGAGTGGACAGAGAGTAAGGGCAGATGACAAAACTAGTCTACAAGGAAGTTTAGGATGGCCAGGAGTAAGGTCGGGATGTGGCTCAGTGGTGCAGGGCTTGCCTAGCTCTGGGTTTTGTCACAGCCGAGGTGGAAAGAAAAGACAAAAGGAAGTTTTAGCAACAGGAACCAGGTTATAGGTACATGGCTATAACCCGAGCACTCCAGAGGCCAAGGTTGTGGAATCGTGGATAGACTGCACTACACAGTGAGCTCAAAGCCAGTCTGGGCTAATGTAGCAAAATTTTGTGTCAAAGAGGAGAATTAAGAGGGGCAGGGAGGAAGAGGAGGGAAAGAGGAAGGGGAGGAGGAAAGAGAAAAGTCAGTCAGAAGGACCTCTTGAGGAGGTGACTTTTGAGGGTCATGAAAGGCCTTAGACATGACAAGAAGTCTAAGGCTCTAATCAGGGAAGCGACCCAACTCCAGCCATAACACAGAATCCCCGCTGCTGTCCCTTCCTGGATCTCACCCCCAGATGCACAGGAGATCAAAGTTGGTGTGGATGAAGAGGGCCGCATCTACTTGGCTTTCGAAGCCCCTGAAGCCCCTGACTTCTCTGAGTTTCAGTGGTCAAAGGATTACAAGGGTCCACCCGACCCACAGAGGGTGGAGGTGGAGGATGAAATTAACAAGTGAGTGGGGCGTGGCGGGGGCAGCATCCAAGGGTGGCAGAGCTGTAGGGAGACACACAGGTTAGCCAGGGCTGCCCCATCTGCCATGGCGGTGCTAGCTGCCAGTTCAGAGAGAAGCAAGGAAGGATGCCCCTGCCTAGAATCCTCAAGCATACACGGAGTGACTGGCTGCTTGGTTGCAGACCATGTGCCACACTGCCCAGCTCTAGAGCTTTTGTTGGTCCACGGGGGACCTCAAGGGGATGCAAGGGATTAGTTGTCCCTGCTGTCAAGTTTGGCCAGGACCTGGGATGGGACACAGGCCACCAAAGCCAAGCTCCAGCTCCTACCCCCTCAATGCCCGAGCCCAAAGGCCCAGCTCAGAGCATCAACTCACCTCTCTCTGCCAGGTCCAAGGTCATCTTGAAAGACCCTGGCCTTCAAGACTTGGGTATCTACTCGGTGGTGGTCACTGATGCTGATGAAGACACCTCTGCAAGCCACACGCTGACAGAGGAAGGTAATGGCCTTACTCCCTGCCACCTCCTCAGGGAAACAAGTCCTGATCTAGAGCTCAAGCACCAGTGCCCATAGAAGCCAAGAGGACATTGAGGCTCAGCCTGACCAGAGCTGGGCTCTAATGTGGTCATTCCTGCAGAGCCTGTAATGTAAGGGATGTTTTTCTGAGCAGGTGGGGAGCATATGCAACCTTGTAGCTGCAGCATCTCCCACAGTGCCCACGGCTCTCACCACCAACCTCTGTGGAGCATGTGACCCCAAGTTGATGGCAATGTGAGGTTCTCTTGGAACATCTCAGCAGGGAGGCCCTAGGATGGCTGTAGTGGAACCCTGTGGCCTAATGTTGCCTCTGTTTTCTTCCTTGCACCTTGTTTCAGAGCTGAACAGGCTGAAGAAGTTGAGTCATGAGATCAGAAACCCAGGTAAACACTGAGGTGCAGCTTCCTGTGGTTTCTAAGGCCTGTGAACATGTGCTGAGCAGAACCGAGTCAGGCAGACAGCAAGGGATAACCTGGGAGCAAGAGATGGGGCAACCAAGGCTGGAAGACCAGAGACCAGAGGCACACTGATGGGGGAAGGACACCAGCAGGGGCCCAGAGGTGTGCAGAGGAGGAAAACAAGTCAGTCTCTTACCAGCTTAAGCATCACCGCCATCACCCACCGCTGCTACACTACCTCCTACACCATCATGACCACAGCCACCACCACCATCACTACCACCACCACCAGCAGCAGCAGCAGCACCACCACCACCATCATTAACATCACCACCGCTGTGCATGCCTTTAATCCCAGCACTCGTCAGTTCGAGGCCAGCCTGGTCTACAAAGCTACACAGAGAAACCCTGTCTCGAAAAAACCAAAAAAAATTTAAAAACAAAAAAACATCACCACCACCATCATCACTACCACCTTCATCACCGCCACTACCATCGTCACCAGCAACACCATCACCATCACCACTATCTCTGTTGTCACCACCACCACCATCATCATCATCCCCAGCCATCATCATCATCCTCATCAGATCTTGAGACATCTGGACATCAGATCATCTAAACCTCCACTGTTCTTTCGTCTCTGGATGGTGAAATCCTTAAATCCAAACACTTGGTCACATACTGGCATCACCTTGGGAACTTTTTCAAACCTCGTGCCCAGACCTTGCCCCAGCTGAATCAGAACAGGCAGGGATGAAGCCCAGACTCCGGTGTTTAAGGTTCTTTGAAGAGAAAATGCATTTCTGAGGTCAATTCCATCTATAGAGAGCTTAACACGCCTCCAGGCAGGTCCGGCTCCTTTAGGTTCTGCAAGTGTTTCCCATATTTACTGCCAAGGGTGGGGCTGGGTGGGGCGGGGAGTGCAGAGAGGAGAGTACTCCCGCCCACACCCTTCCTGTGCCTTGCAGTCATCAAGCTGATCTCTGGCTGGAACGTGGACATCCTCGAGCAAGGAGAAGTGCGGCTCTGGCTGGAGGTGGAGAAGTTGTCACCAGCGGCAGAGTTGCATCTCATCTTCAACGAGAAAGAGATCTTCAGCTCACCGGTAAATGACGCCCACAGTCCCTGCCCCAAGGCCTCACCTGTGAGCCGGTGCCTGGGTCTAGCTGTCATTTCAGAAATAGCTGACACTCTGACTCTGCGGGGGCAGGGGGATGTTACAGATGACAAGTCCCAGTTTTCATACGTGGCAGGTGGGGCCAGGAAGAGAGCACAGGGGTGCGAGTTACTAACCAGTTTTGGGGACATTTCCACAAAGCACTTTCCAACCCACTGCCACTTTCAAATGTCTCCCCGGCATCCCTAAGACAGAAAGCCTATGTCGGCACTGACAGGTTCCCAAGCCTAAACCTCTGCTTTAGACAGAAATTTAAAACACTTTCATACAGGCTTAACAGACGTCCAGGGAGAGCAGCTCGTCTCTCAGCTGCTTTACACTGTGTGTTTTCCTGTTCTGGTCCTTTGCTTCTCCCCCCCATTACAAATCAGGGCAAGGTGCTGCTGCTGTAGGTCAGGGGTAGTGCATTGTGTCCCAGAAGCTACATGCCAAAATACATGGGGTTTTATTTTAAATGCTATTTATACAAGGTCATTGCATTGTTTTCATTTTAATTGAAGGTAAATAGGTTGTTGGAATGGGCTGTTGACATTCAATTTTTTTATTACCTGTAAAACGTATTGATTTCAGTCTCATGAAAGTGTCTAATCTCTTGTGAACTCCATCTCCACATGGTAAAACAGCTATCTGGAAAACATGGATTCAACTCAGTGGTCAAGCACACAACTACTAGTGTGGGCCAGACCCTGAGTTAGAACCAAGGAAGGGAGAGAGGCAGGGAGGGAGGAGGGAGGGAATATATCTTCCAGAGAAGGGAATGATGGTTTTGATCAGAGGAAATATCAGCCAGATGAGGGGCAGGCATGACCAGCCCTGCGGGTGTCCCATGTCCCCCTCTCTGCCTCCCTCTCTGTATCTGCACAGCAGGGCAGGTTTTTCCCAGAATCAATAAAGAATAGATCAGGGAGTATTTTGAAAGCTGTGTGTAAAGAGTACACACTGAACTTGCCACATGTTATCAGAGGCCCTGTAAGGGCTAGAGCAATGGTTCTCAGCCTGTGGGTCTCCATCTCTTTGAGGGTTTCGCAAGACTATCAGAAAGCATAGATATTTGCCTTGTGATCCAGAACAGTAACAAACTTACAGCTATGAAGTAGCAACAATAATTTTATGGTTGGGCGTCACCGCAACATGAGGAACTGTGTTAAAGGGTGACAACGTTAGACAGGTTGAGAAGCACTGGTCTAGAGGCTTCGGTGTATATTATTTGGATAATTGGCCATCCTTACAGAAAATACAAGTAGGCCATTCCCTTCAATCACACGTGCAAATAAAGCCAGGCCTAGTAAGGACCTAAATTCAGAGAATAAAAGTTTTAAACCGTTAGTGTGCAGCAAGATGTAAGTGGCTGGTATTTCTAGAGAGTGATTATTAAATTGTAAGGGGAATACCGGGTGTAACTAGTCCTAGAATGTGATCTCATCACTTAGGAGGTCCAGGCTGAAGGATCAGAAGTTCCAAGTCATCCTCAGCTACAGGGCAAGTTTGAGGCCAGCCTGGGCTACATGAGACCCTGCTTCAAAAAAAAATATGAGGGCCAGGGACTAGAGGGATTGCTCAGTAGTTAGGAGCACTGACTGCTCTTGCAAAAGATGTCCAGGTTTGATTCTCATCACTGACACACATGGCAGCTCACTACTGTCTGTAATTCCGGTTCTAAAGGATCTGATGCCCTCTTCTGGCCTCCATTGGTACTGAATGAGCATGGCACACAGACATACAGGCAAAACACCCATAACCATAAAATATAAACAAATAAATCTTTAAAAAAAAAAAACTGGGAGTGGGAGAGAGATGGTTCAGTGGGTAAAGGCACTTGTCACCAAGCCTGATAGCATAAGTTCAATCCCCCAGGTCCACTGAGTGGAAGGAAAAAGCAGAACTGACTCCCACAAGCTGTTTGTTGACCTCCACACATTTGCTGTGGCCTATACATTCCCCATCTACAACACACACACACACACACACACACACACACACACACACACACACACGCACGCACGCACGCACGCACGCACGCACTAAATTAAAATGTAATCATTTTTCATTTAAATTGTAAAAAGTTGAAAATAGCCAACAATGAGACACAGTAAGGGTACATACAGAGTTTATTATTAAATTATAATTAATTCAAGCATGGGGTGCTGGGGACACCAAACTACTCAAGCAGGAAAAGGCCACCAGGAACCCTTCCCCAGCCCCTGGACATTGACGGTTCTGCTCTTAGCACCCCAATCTTGATCACATCCTGAGGTGCTTCCCCCCCCGCCCCCGGGAAAGCTCCCAGAACAGGAAATGCCCAAAAAGGACTCATGGATTTGTTCCCTCAGAACCGCAAGATCAATTTTGTCCGAGAGAAGGGCCTCGTGGAGGTGATCATCCAGCAGCTGTCCGAGGATGACAAGGGGTCATACACCGCCCAGCTCCAAGATGGAAAAGCCAAGAACCAGATCACCCTCGCCCTGGTGGATGACGGTCAGCTGACTCCACTCCTCCCTGAAGCACCTGCCCCACCGGCTTGAACCCACCCTTCCCCGTGCACCCTCCCGGGCTCTCCGCTCACAGCTCTGGGGTCTGCGGAACGCAGCAGCCAGTGCTGTCCACCCCAGTGCCCACTTGGGGACCTTCGCTCTCCCCACTCACGCCGCTTCCTCCTGATGTATTCACAGATTTTGACAAGCTTCTAAGGAAGGCAGACGCAACCAGAAGAGACTGGAAGAGAAAGCAGGGTAAGAACCATTGGCCGGTGCTGGAAAATACCAACCCAGCCAGGGAAGTTCACCGTGATCTGGTCAAGTCCTCCCCTAGTGACAGATCAAAATTTCGTTTCTCCAGCCCAAGAGCCAGTGCCTCCTTAAAGTTATTTTCATTTAAGGAGACCCCAGTCCTCGTCTTGGTCTTGGAGGCTTTAGCAGGCTCCTGCCCAGATGGCTTTCCCTGTCTGAACACTAGGTGGCGCCCTGGATCAGCCTAAAGCTCATGACTCATGGGCATATTCTCTCTTCCCCTGCAGGTCCCTATTTCCAGGAGCCCTTGAAGTGGAAAGTCACAGAGGACTGCCAAGTGCTTCTGACATGCAAGGCAAGTCTCCTCCCCACCTCCAACCCTGCCATCAGCCTAGTGGGGCATAACTTGTGACTCATCCCCAAGCCCAGTGGCTGTCCTTGCCCACTCCGTTCTGGAATTTTATCTCCCATGTCTGGCTGATCCCACAGCTGGAAAGTGGCCCCTCATGCATGTGCACACACACACACACAGGTTGGGAGCTAGTGAGGGCTCTCTGCGTTGACGACCTTCCTGTTTATTGTAACCCTTGTCAGACACTGCTCCGTGCACTCGGGGACAATTTAATTTCACCTGCCGCACTGTCGTCTCTACTTTACTACCCCACCTCAGAGATGAGAACACAATTAGGGAATCAGCTGAGGGCACACAGGTTACAGAGGCCCAAGTCCCAGCCTGACCCCAAAGCCCAGGTCCTTCCATAACGTGCGCGGGGGAGATCTCACTCTTTCAGAGAAGAAAAATGCCACTGCTCAGTAAGATCCTGGGCAGACACAGTTCCCTTGGGCCTCTGGGAATCCTCAACACAAGGCAAATTACTGAAAAACAGCCTTATGGATGATCAGACACATTCAGGAAACTTAATTACAGGGAAAGAGAGACACTGTGGGATACTCCAGGAGGACTTCCTGGAGGAGACGACGTCTGACTGGCTAAGAAGCCTAAGTATTTACAAGGAAAACAGAGCAGAAGGGGTCGAGAGGCAGGAAGTAACTTTAGCAAAAGTCGGGACCCAGAGGCGGGCGAATGAGACACGTGGTGTGAGGAAGGGACAGGGGACTGGTGTGTGAGTCTCGGTGGGAGGAGTTGTGTTTGTAAAGAAGTTATGCGAGTTGGGCTTTCATTTTTAAAATCGAAAGTCTGATGGATTCCCCCCATGCCCTGTCCTCAGGTGACCAACACCAAAAAGGAGACTCGCTTTCAGTGGCTCTTCCAGAAGAAAGAGGCTCCCAGTGGGCAGTACGACCCGCAGACGGGAGCCGGGCTGCTCTGCATCGACTCGGTAAATGAAGCTGGAGCTTGGGGTCCACCCTGGTCGCTGCCAGCTGATGGCGCCGAGCGCGCTGGGTGGAGCCGGAGCAGAGCTGGTCACATGGGAGCATCCAAACCCAGGAGGGGCTGGAGTGGTTCCCAGCACTGGATGCTCCTGCCGCGGACCCAACAAACTTCAGTTCTCAGCACCCATAGGGCAGCTCACAGTTGTAACTACAGCTCCAGTGGACCTGATGCCCTCTTCTGGCCTCTTTGGGCATTACATTCACATGGTGCACAGACACACAAGCAAACAAGCACTCATACACAAAAGAATTTTTTTTTTTTTTTGGTTTTACGAGACAGGGTTTCTCTGTATTGTTTTTGAGCCTGTCCTGGAACTCGCTGGGTAGATCAGCTTGGTCTGGAACTCAAAGAGATCCACCTGACTCTGCCTCCTGAGTACTGGGATTAAAGGCGTGTGCCACCACCGCCTCCACCGCCCGGCCTACACATAAGAATTTAAAGAGAATATTTTTTGGGAGACAGATCCTAGGGCCTGGGAACGTAGCTCAGCTGGTACCAATCTTGCTTGGTAATCACAAAGTCCTGTGTTTGATCCCCATACCACATAAACCAAGTGTGAAAATGTCTGCCTACAGCCCCAAACTGGGGAGGTGGACGCAGGAGGATCAGAAGTTCAAGGTCACTGTCAGCTAAATAAGGTGTTTGAGGCCAGCCTAGGTACATGAGAGTAAAAAAAGTCGGGAGTTAGTGGCGCACACCTTTAATCCCAGCACTCAGGAGGCAGAGGCAGGCAGATCTCTGTGAGCTCGAAGCCAGCCTAATCTACAGAGCAAGTGCCAGGATAGGCTCCAAAGCTACAGAGAAACCCTGTCTTGAAAAACCAAAAGACAAAAAAAAAAAAGGAAAGAAAAAGAAAAAACTAATTTATGCAATTTTTTCTATGCTGTTCTTTTCTTTTCTTTTTTCTTATTTAAATTGGAAACAAGCTTGCTTCACATGTCAATCCCAGCTCCCTCTCCTCACCTGCCCTCCCCCAGCAATTTTTTAAACTCAAAGTTAACATTAAAAACCAGGACACAAATGTTTCAAAAGCCAGGCCCACTATTAATTGTTACTGATTTTTTTCCCTCTCTGGGGACCCAGGCCTGGTTCTGGTCCAGCATTTGCAGCCTTGGGCTAGTCACCAGCCCACTCTGACCTTCAGTTATCTTTTCTCTGTGAGCTCCCTGCCCCAGGCTAGGGTTGAGGACAGGAACGATGTCCCGCAGTGAGGCAGCTCCAGAGAAAAGCGGGCTTGGGGCTGGATTCTTTCCTGGGTCTCTCCACACAGTCCCCAGAGGACTAAGGGAGGGAAACGCAAGGCCGATCCCCACCCGCCAGACGCCTCTGTCTGTTACTGATTGCAGCGTCTTCAGCTATGTGCTGGGGACGCTGGACAGTCGATCATCGCTTCCTACTAGGACGGAAACGATAAGTCCAGGACAGTGCCATGTCAGCCTTTGTCACTGTTAAGCATGTGCCTCAAAAGGGGTCTGTCACTCAATGGGTTCTTAATATTCATGGATTCTGGATATAATCACCTGTTTCCTGGAGGCTCTGGCTCTCGTAGTGTTAATCCCTTGGAACCTGGGGTGCACAGCAAGGAAGCCGGAGCTGCTACCAGAGAAGTTAGCTGAGGCTCTGCCCGGTGAAGTACAAGGACGGGAGGCTCGAGTGGGACCAGAAATCACTCCCCAGTGGGTGCAGCCATGTCTGCTCCACACGGCTGAGGCATCCCTGGTCTTCTGTCCACCCGGTGGCCACTCTAGGGACCTTTCCAGTGCCACCCGAGCATGACTGGGCCTTTATGGCCTTCCGTGGATATAGAAGAAAAGCTTTGGGAAAGGATCGTTGTGTTCTAGAAGACCTACCTCTCTCTGCCTTGGATCCTCCCCAAAGTCTCTATGTGGATCATGGCCTGAGGGGGAGGGACCCTCGAGGAGCCCTGAAGGAGTGGCCTTCTGATAAGATGTCACGTCTGACCTCTGCTTTTGGCCCCAAAAGCAGGCCCCTAGGCAGAGCCTGCTTAGATGCCTTGCCTAGCACTTGAGACAAACACAGTTCCGTCCTCAGCAAACCTCTCAAAAGTGCAATCAGGTCTTGCTTCGGTGGTCGTTGCTTCGGATTTGAGACCACAAACACATGTCAGAAGGACCCCATGTTCTGAGCCAAGGAAAACATGATTCTTTCTGGGGAACTTGCAGGGGACCCTTGCCTCAGGGCCTCAGGGAGCACATTGGAGAGTTTGTGTCTCCTACAGACAAGCTCTGCCCAGGCTGGACGTGCTGGGCTGGGCTGGGCTCCAAGAGCCACCTGGGAATCAAATAGGGTGTCTATTTCTACCCTCAGTACACACACACTCACAGACACACATATACTCACAAACTCTCACACATGCACACACACTCACAGATTCACACACATATGCACACTTATATTCACTTGCATACACTCACACACACACTCTCACACATGTTTTCACACATTCACAGACACACATACATATACTCCTTACACCCACCAACCCCAGAGGTGACAGAAGCCACACAGGGTTGGGACCTGGCACCTCCTAACTTGCTGTCATCTCTCCTTCTGGAACCCTTGCACACACTGTATCCTCTTCCATAGTTCTCCAAAGAAGACCAGGGAATCTACAGAGCAGTGGTTTCTGATGACAGAGGGGAAGACGACACCATCCTGGACCTCACAGGTGAAGGTAGGAGCCAGTGATGTCAGAGACAGGCCACAAGGGCTGTGGAGAGGTCACACTGGAGCAAGAGATTATGGTATGACATGTGGTCTAAGGTTTATGGGATCTCCATGTCACTTGGGGAAACTGAGACACAGAGAAGTTAGATGAGTTACTCAAGGTTACACAGCTAGCCAACAGCAGGGACCTGGTATTCGTGCTACTATAGTATGCCACAATTAATCCAGGCTTGAAGACCCTCTACCCACAGAGGGCCCTTGCTGTTCTTTTTTTAAAAAATAATGTATTTAAATTTATTTTATGTGCATTTGTGTGAAGATGTCAGGTTCCCTGGAACTGGAGTTACAGACAGTTGTGAGTTGCCATGTGGGTGCTGGGAGTTGAACCCGGGTCCTCTGGAAGAGCAGCCAGTGCTCTTAACCACTGAGCATCTCTCCAATCCCACCCTTGCTGTTCTTGAAGCTGGTTGACATAGCTCACAAGAAAATTATCAGATGGCAGTGTCACTCACCACCCAAGTTATTCTGCAGAGACCTCCACCCTCAGAGAGGCTCTGAGGTCCCTCACCCTTCTCCAAAACCACCGCCGTCACCCCTGGACATCCCCAAGAGAACAAACCCAGCTGAACATTTTCTGTCTTCCCCAGGCCTGGATGCTGTCCTCACTGAGCTGGGCAGGATTGGTGGTAAGTGAGCATGCCTCCTCTTTGCCTTGTCCTGATGCCAATGAGCCTCTTAGGAGTGCCCCCAACAGCCTCAGCTGCAGGCATAGGTCTAGTGTCTGCCTTTGGTGAAAGGGACGGAGGCCCCTGTTCCCACACAGTACTGTGTTCCTACCTTGCTGCCCAGAGCTGCAGCAAGCGGCCTGGGCCCCAAACACACCATTCACAGGTCCTGGGGGTGGGGGTAAGGACTCACCTTTGACCTCTGCACCCTCAGCTCTCTCGGCAACCCCACTGAAAATCCAGGGGACTGAAGAGGGGATCCGGCTCTTCAGCAAGGTCAAATACTACCATGTGGAGTACATGAAGACTGCTTGGTTCCACAAGTAGGTTGGCCTTGCCCCAGAGCCTGTGCATGCTGGAAGGTCCCAGTACCTGCCCCATTAGGAGTCTCCTACTCCCCCACCTGCCCTCCCACGGGTCACAGACCCAAGGGACCATCAGAGGGGGCACCCTTACACAGGTCCTGTCCACGGGGATGAGAGAAATAGAAGAGTCTTCCCCCAGGGAAGACGGGAATGCTGGTGGTAGGACCACTTACTTGAGGTCTCCATGACAACTGAAGGGTTATGGTCCCAGAGCATTGTCTGGAAACCAAGGGAGGATGCAAGAATCAAGAAGAGCCAGTTACAGAGTGATGGTGCCTTTGGGGGCCTCTGCAAACCCGAGTAGCCAGGCTCAGGAGGCAGGTACAGGCAGAGAGGGCTGTGGGAGGGTCAGGACAGGAAATCCAGAAGGTTTCCACAGAGGTTCAGCCAAGTCACCCCCAGATAACTTGAGAATAGGATCTCCCTAGAGCATCTCACCATGAGTATGCCTCAACCCCGTGGAGCAGACATGGCTGCACCCATTCTATCATGAAGCCTAGACCAACTTGGGCAACTCTGTGCAATGAGAGAGAGAGAGCCACAGGAAGCTTCAGGATGATGGGGGCCCCTTTTCTAGTCAGAGTTTCTGAGCCCTTGACAATGGGCGTAGGCAACAGAACATTAGGAACATTGGCTAGGTGTCTTCAGGAGGAAATGTAAGTGGAGAAGGAAGAGTTGAAACTTAGCTGGCTTCTAAGTTAGGATTGACTGGGCAGAAATGCTAGGAGGGTTAAGATGGGAATGAGAGGTAGGGAAGTGACTCCCAAGGGCAGGAAGTCAATGCTCCAATGAGCCATTTGCTCATTGGCCCAGTCTGCAGGGCACATGACAGATAAAGACCCAGCTTTGGTATGAAGTTGATCTGCCATGGGATTTGATGAAGGAAGGAAGGAATGGGTGGTTGAGTGCCGAATGGATAGATTGCTGGATGGCGAATGGAGCACTGAACAATGAATGGATGAGTGGCTCTGTAGCAACTGTCTGGTGGGTGGTCCTCCATCTGAAAACAACACCCCCAAAAGAGGGGCCGCCGACAGGGAGCCAGACCCACAGTCAGCCTTAGCCATCCTCTGCCTTCGCATTCAGAGACAAACGTCTGGAGAGTGGCGACCGGGTAAGAGCGGGTACCACCCTGGATGAGATCTGGCTCCACATCCTGGACCCCAAGGACTCAGATAAGGGCAAATACACCCTGGAGATAACTGCTGGGAAGGAGGTCCGGCAGCTCTCGGCAGATCTGTCTGGGCAAGGTAAGCCACCCTCCAATCTGTCTGTGGTCTCCTGAGAGATCATTCTAGAAAATCGCAGGGGGTCAGGCACTGTGGCTCACATCTGTAGCTCCCACACTAAGGCAGAATTCAAGGTAATCCTCAGCTACACAGTGAGTTTGAGACCAGCCCAGACTGCAAACTTATCTCACAACAGAGGAAGGAGGGAGGATGAGATGGCTCAGGAGTTAAAAGCACTTTGCTACACAGACCTGATGTCCTGAGTCCATGCTCCGAAACCCACATAGAAACGGAAGAAGAAAACCAAGTGCACACAGTTGTCCTCTGACCTCCACATTTACACGCAATAATAACAATTGAAGACAATTAAAAGAAAATTCCATGAAAGGTCAGACAGGGAGGCAACCTTAACCCTGAGGAGGTGGAGGCAGGACAATAGCCAAGTTCAAAGTCCTGTCCTTGGCTACACAGTGGGAACTTGTCTCAAAAAAAGAGAAAGAGAAGCCGGGCGTTGGTGGCGCACGCCTTTAATCCCAGCACTCAGGAGGCAGAGGCAGGCGGATCTTTGTGAGTTCGAGACCAGCCTGGTCTATAAGAGCTAGTTCCAGGACAGCCTCCAAAGCCACAGAGAAAACCTGTCTTGAAAAACCAAAAAAAATAAAAATAAAAAAAGAGAAAGAGAAAGGGGAGGCTGTCTCCTCCTCCAAACCTGGCACTGCCCGGGAGAACCCTGGAATGGGAGGCAAGTTGAAGGTCCCCTCAGCCCTGTCCTGCCTTCTTTGTCCCACAGCTTTTGATGATGCCCTGGCAGAGCACCAGAGACTGAAGTAAGTGTTCCCCACACTCTCTTTGTGAATCACGGCCCCTCAGGGGTGGGGTGACAGTTTTTGGGCCACTGCTGGGAACCCCATCCAGCTCACCTTCCCCCCCTCACAAGGAGACAGAACAGCCACAGACGATGCAACCCTGTTCCCACTTCTGTCTTCCAGGGCCTTGGCAATCATTGAGAAGAGTGAGTCCCCTGTGGTCCTGGTCCTCATTCCTGAGCTTAAGCTGGCTTCTCTAGAACCCCAGCCTCCTGGAAGACTGCTGAAGTCCCAGCTCCCAACAGGCTCTGTGGCATTCTGGGGCCTCGCTCTGCTACTGGGGACACCTGGGAGCTAGCTGTAGATGGATAATGAACCTGAGGATACTTGAAGTCATGGGTTGGGCAGGACCAGTGTGGGTCTGGTACCAAGCAGGTGCACACAGCCCTTGGTGGGAGCCCAAAGCAGGGAACTGAGGGGGATGAGGTTGAGCCAGCCTTTCCAGGTGGGCCATAGGAAGAGGGTGGCCTGGAAACTGAATATGAGGTTTGTGGGTCTAACTCCGAGTCAGCCTCAGGCCTAGAGGATGTGACACAGCTTCCGAGCTATGCCCCCTCCAAAAAACACTAATCTGTGTTCAAATCTGCCTCACTTGTGAGCTCTCCCCGCCCTCAGGTCTCCCTGGCCCAGGGATGGGAAATAGGGATTTCAGTGGCAACAGAAAAGTCCCACAGCCTTGCCAGCCTGACAAGGAAGGGACCTGGATGGCTATGAGCATCAAGGACACTGCAGAACCATCAACACAGAGATATTGGCACCCCTTCCTGTGTGATGCCTACTGTCCCCAAGTGACAGGAAGGACAGGCATTGGATATGTAACCACAGCCCTGACAATCCAAGGTTCCAAGTGACCTTACAGTGTCAGCCAACCTTGGGGGAGACAGCATATCCAAAAGCCAGTCACATGTGCTCAGGACAGAGGGGACCTCATACCACTACCTAACTATATGCCAGACACAAATGTCCCCTCCCATCCAGGACCCTCATAGAAGGAATTTAAACTTGACCACATGTGGTTGCTGGGGCTTGAGAAATCAGAATCAGTGAGAGAAATGGGTCCACTGTGGAAAGTGGGTACAAATTCCTGCCTGTGACAGTGTCCTTCCATGTCTGATTCAGGATCCTTCTCCCTTAAACCAGCAGACAGCGGCCATATGCACCAAACTCTTTGCGCTTCTGGGACACATGATCTGGCTCTCCCTATGTCCTCTGGTGCAGTATAAGGGACACATTTGACTCTTTACTTAGTAATTTATAGCCACAGTGTCTTCCTGTGGCCACCAGGACCCTCCTTGGACCAGAGTCAGGATACCCAAAAAGTTTCCACTTTCCTAGCCCCCTCTTGGTATCCCCCTCCCCCCACCACACACACACCCATGGGTCAGAGACAAAGGTTACTGGATGGATCCTAAAGTTCCAGCTAGGAGCAATCCCATTCACCTTCTTTCTCTTGAGGACAGAGGCAATTCACTGTCACTCCTGGGTACCACTAATGGTGACCTCAACTCCATGGCAGAAGCAGCTCTCATAGCGTATCTTCTCCCTGTGACGACAAGGTGCACGGAATAGGGCGTTGAGGAAGAAACTAGAAAGAAAGCATCTTGATGCTAAGCCTCTACTCTGAGGAAAGCTGCGGGGGGAGGGCAGCTGGCAGATCTTTGCCACTTGGGTCTTCTCTTTCTATTCCAGATCGAGCCAAGGTGGTGAGAGGCCTGCCAGATGTGGCCACCATCATGGAAGATAAGGTACTATTCCTCCCAATCCACAGCCAGCCATCCCACGCTTGTGTGCCACAATGACATCTTACCAAAAGCAAAAATGCAAAGAGCAGGCCATTCTGGGCAGGCCATTGCTAGAAAATGGTCTAAGACTCTACCAGTAACTTTTCCTGTAGAAGGCTGAGGGCTGGAGAAAGTGGCACTGAAATAAAACATGTCTCCCTTTATGGGTTTCAGTAGAACAAACACACATAAGAGCTGAGGATGTAGTCCAGTTGGTAGAGTGTTTACCTAGCATGCACAAAGTCCTGGGTTCCATCTCCAACACTACATAAACTGGGCACTTAGGGTGTAGAGGCAGGAAGAGAGAATTTCAAGGTCGTCCTCAGCTAGCTGGCAAGCTCAGGGCCAGGCTAAGATACATGAGACCTTGTTTTTAAAACACGCAGGCAAACCCACCCCTGCACGCATGATGCAAGCACACATACCCTTTGTTCAGAGCAGCTGCCTGTACTAGTAGCTCCCGTGTGTTATGTAAAGGTGAAGGCTGAGATCAAGTTACAAGGAAGTAAAATTGCTCTCTTCCTGTCAATCAAAACAGACCCTGTGCCTAACCTGCGTCATCTCAGGAGACCCATCCCCTGAAATCTCTTGGCTAAAGAATGACCAGCCTGTCTCCTTCCTTGACCGATACCACATGGAGGTGAAGGGTAATGAGGTCACCATCACCATTGAAAAGGTCACCAGTGAAGACAGTGGGCGCTACGGAATCTTTGTCAAGAACAAGTATGGCTCAGAAACAGGCCAGGTCACCATCAGCGTGTTTAAACACGGGGAGGAGCCCAAGGAGCTGAAGAAGATGTAATTGAAATGTCCAGGGACAGCCTGAGATCCACACTACATGGGCCAGCAGTCCAGCCAATGGGTCACAACTTAGCACAGGCTATGGGGGTGGGACAGCGGAAGGGACAAGGACATAATTGAGCTGGATCCAATATACCAAAGAAGAGGAGCAAAAGTTTCCTGGAGCTACAAACATTAAGCACTGACCTTAGAAATCAGACGCTGGGGTACAGAACTCAGTTTCCACAGAATCTCTTCACAAGCCTTGCCTTTCTCATCCATGAAATGGGCATTCCTAGCCAATCTGAGGGGATTTGTGAAAATCCCTTACCAATCTATATCAGTGGGTCATAGCAGGAAACACCTTTGCTCTGCAGGGGACAGCTGGCAAAACTGACAGTTTGGTTGTCACACTGGATGTATTTACTGGTGTTGAGTAGGTTGAGGCTGCAGAGGGTGGTGAGCACTTCTCCCAGGGCACAGAACGTATATTTTAGGGTAGCACTTTTGAAGCTCTGTATGCCCATCACTTGTTGGAGGAATAGCATACATACAGAAAGCTGAGGACAGCCCTGGAGCTACAAACATTACGCAGGCCCCACCCGGAAATGGACTCGGAGTGCAGGTAACTCCAGGGCAAGGCAGGAGATGGCAAAGATCACTAAATGGGTCCAAGTAAAGTATCTTCATTGATCAGAGGAAGTGGGCCATGGCCCTCGCAGCTGGGAGACACAGGGATTTACAACACCCTTCCACGTTGGGTGGGGCAATGTTGGACTCTGAAGGGTGAATCCAGTTTGGCCATGGAGATGGGAGAAGGACACTCAGGAGCAGACCTGGCAGAAGCAAAGGTGAGGACAGGAGAGCGTGTCCCTGCCTAGGTGACCTGGGATGCCAGGCAAGCAGTTGATGGCCTCCAGGGCTTCTTCCAACATAGAGCCTGTACAGCCTGTAGCAGACACTGCGGCTGGCCTTACTCAGTGGATTTCAGCACACAGCTGGACATTTCTTTGTCTTCCAATTTTCCCACTGGAAACAAGGTGTGGGAGGGGTTATGAAAGCATAGCTGTTTGCTTGGAAATTATAAAGGAGGAAATAAAATAACAAACAAACTCTGAATTCTCAACATCAGGAGGCACAGGCCTGCCTGTGGTTTCTGAAATGACCTTGGAACTGAGAGACAAAGTGAACCAGTCCTCAGGCCAGCAGCTAGTCACCTAGCAGGATATGTGGGTGCCTGCAGCCCCCAGGGGCAAATGTTCTGGGCTCCATGCTGATTAATGAGATCTCTGCTGAGGAGAGGTAGGGGTGGTGTGTGTGTGTGGTGTGTGTGTGTGTGTGTGTGTGTGGTGTATGTGTGTGTGTGTGTGATGTGGGGGGGGCGTGCATGTGGCACGCATGTGGCTGGTTCTCTCCTTCCATCTTGTGAGTCCCAGAAACCAGACCCAGGTCATCAGGCTGCAGGGAAGGGGCCCTTATTTACTGGGCCAACTCACCCACAAACACCTCTCGGTCCACTAGCCGTGGGTCTTGCCAGTACTTTTCCTTTTCCTGAGCCTCAGTTTCCCATCTATAAAACAATTAAGATTGTCAGGTAAATTGACACACCCCTGTAGTCCCAGAACCTCAGAGGTGGAGGTAGGAGGATCATGAGTTCAAGGTCATCCTCAGCTTCATTGTGAGTTCAAAACCAACCTGGACTACATAAGACTGTCTCAGAAATGTAACAACGTGGAGGGAGGGAACCAACTGCTAAAAGTTGTCCTCTGACCTCGTATGTGTTCTGTAGCCCAGGGCATCCCCACCACATGACAATAAATTAATAAATGTAAATGTCCAAGTCAGGCAGTGGTGGCGCACACCTTTAATCCCAGCAACGGGGAAGCAGAGGCAGGGGGTTCTCTCTGAGTTTGAGGCCAGTCTGGTCTACAGAATAAGTTCCAGATTAGCAAGGGTTACACAGAGAAACCCTGTTTCGAGAAACCAAGAGAAAAAATAATAATAATTTCCAGGGCCTGGCCAACTGACACTAATTTTTTTAATTATTATTATTACTTTCCACAACTCTGCTCTCCTTTGGTTTTCCTTTTCCATCAAAATGTGGTGTAGAAAAAAAAGCTCTCCCCTGGCCCACTCTTCCATTCGCAAATTCGAAATCTCTAAAAGGAATCCTTGCTGCTTTCCTGTCTATGACAATAGAGCATTTCAATGCCCTTCAGAAGCCTAGTGATGATAAAGGAACATGGTGTGAGCGCCCCCTATTGGCATGACTTGTGTTGCACTCTAAGAAGCATATACAGGAAAGCCTTTCCAGGGGAAAATGTCACTTATTTAAGTGATAAGCCCACTTGGGAACAGAAGCTGGTCCCTGCTGCTGCTTTGGAGTTTCTGTAGTGCATTAATCATAGGTGGGTGTTTTAAATCCCTAATCTGACACTTCCATGTCCTGGGCACCCCGGAGCCTGGCTCTGATACCTGTGTGGTCTGCCTTCTAGCCTGCCTTTGTATTTTCCTGTGGACAGACAGACCAGATAAAAGTATCTAGGTAAAAATAGTTGTCATAAAAAATAAAATGCCATACATTTTATGGGAAAGGAAAATACATAGGCTTTTAATTTTTATTGCAATCTAATTTTAATTATTAAACTTATATTAACAGTAATAATAAAAGGGAAAATAAAGGTTTTTAATGCTGAGGGAAGGTATAAAGTGTGGGAGAGGAAAAATTATTATATGGTGTGTGATTGGATCTCAGACTTTGGGGGAAGGGCAGTCTCATGTAGCCCAGGCTGGCCTGGAGCTGGCTACTAGCCAAGGATGACTTTGAACTCCTGACCCTCCTCCTGCCACCACTTCCCAAGCACTGGGATTACAAGCGTAGCCAGTTTATGCAGGGCTGGGGACTGAGCCCAGAACCTTCTGCATGCTGGGTAAGCTCTCTACCAGCTGAGTCACATCTCAGGGCCTGAATCTCTGGCTTGAGTGAACCTGTGCTGGTCCCTGAATTCCACACCCACCCCTCAGGCTTTTCTTTCCTCCCCAGCGTGGGACAGGAAAACTCCATGGCTGGCAGTAAGTGTTTGCCCTTTCCTCAGCAGAGTAGGAGCTGGTAAAATGGTGGTCCTAGGTCAGGTTCTAGTGGGACTAGAATGTTCTAGCAACTTAGAAACTGGTTAATTTGTCCTCCTCCTATTGGACATCAGAGATTTTTCTCAGCTGTTCACTGTAAAACTCACAGAAGTGGGGGAGCCCCCAGAAGTCTGGATCCCCACCAATTGTCCCTCAGAGTTGGCAGACTGAGTACCCAGTGAGTCATCCGCTGAAGCTCATGCTGGACCCCAGCACTGGTCCCCTCGTCCCTGTGAGGTCCCTGTGTTCACCTGTCTGTGAACCATTAGGGATGGCAATATGCCTGTGACCTTAACTTCTCCGGCAGATGGCTGAAGAGCGGTTTTGTACTTGTTAGAATGGAGTAGCAACTTTTAACCTTCTTCTAGGCCAAACCCCAAAGTAGAAGCCCCAGCTCTGAAGAATGCAGACATGGAGGCTCATCTGAGGCTCTTTTCTGGTTGTTGTGATACAGTATCCTAACAAAAGTAACTTAAAGAGAAACAGTTAAAGCTCATGTCCCTGGGGACTAGTTCATCATGGCAGAGAAGGCAAGGCGGCATGAAGTTGAAACATGAACTTGGTCACTTGTCATCTGTAGTCAGGAGCAGAGAGCGATGAATGAGTGTGTGCGTGTGTGTGAGATGAACGAGTGTGTGCACGTGTGTGTGAGCAATGGATGAGTGTGTGCACACGTGTGAGCGATAAATGAGTGTGTGCACGCGTGTGCCAGGGCTCAGCAGACCCCTCTTTCCACAGCTCTGGATCTCCTGCCTAGGGGAATTGTGCCACCCGCTGTGGGCTGGTCTTCGGGTTCAGATAATCCCTGACAGACACCCTTGGAGGCCCATCCTCCAGGTCACTTTAGAGTTCATCAAGTTGACATCAAAAGGTTCCTGGAACCTCCCACTGTCACTCTGACCTCTTGCACTTAGTCCTGGGAAGATCTCCAGTGTCACAGGGATAGAACCTGGATGAGGGAGAGACACTAGCCAACAACCTCCCATGGGCCTTTTCCATCTCCAGACTCTATATTCCTTGAGCCTGGGTAAGCGACCCTTGTGTGCTATGGCCCAGTGAAGCCAGACTGCCCAGCCGCATCTCATTCATATCTAGCAGCTTGGGAGCCTGAACTTCCCTACACTCTCCCTCCCCAACCTGCTCCAAGACCCCCTGGCCCCTGCCTCTTCTCCCAGCACCTTGCTCCTTAGCTCCGAGTCCCATCAGCCTCTCTTACTGTTCTTTGTCTGACTCCTCTTTGTCTGACTCCTCCTGGGAAATAGCTCAGTTCACTCAGCCTGACTCCTGGTCCCCTGTGGGGAACACTGTACACGAGGAACCTTAGCTCTTACCTGGCAGAACCCATTAGCAGCACACAAGCAAAGAATTCTCCAGAATACCCTAACATGGGATCATCCAACGTGTTATCTTTCAAAGAGCCCAGGCTGGACGCACAGCTTGGAGGAAGCACAGGCAGCCACAGGGTCCCCTCAGTAATAAACCACTGGTCACTGTTTTCCCATCCTGCCTATGCCGCCTCTCACAGGATAAGCAGTGTGCAATTATTGGCTCAAAACTGACAGGAAGCACCAGGAACCTGACTGATGGGAAGTAGCAGGCCTGGGCAATAATTACAGCTAGGACCCTGCTGAGGTGCCAGGTGGACACTTTCCATACTTAATTCTCCCACCCCCGTTAATTAACTTTTAAAAATTCCAAATAAAGATGCCCATTCATACAACAAAGATGTCTGCTCCACTATGTTCATAGCAGCTTTATTTGTAATAGCCAGAACTTGGAAGCAACCTAGATGTCCCTCAACCGAAGAGTGGATAGAGAAAATGTGGTACATTTACACAATGGAGTACTATTCAGCAGAAAAAAACAATGGAATCATGAGATTCGCAGGCAAATGGATGACACTAGAAGAAACCATCCTGAGTGAGGTAACCCAGTCACAAAAAGAGAAACATGGCATGTACTCTCTCATATATGGATTTTAGACATAGATTTGGGGAGTGCCAGCCTACAATTCTATGGCCAGAGAGTCTGGGAAACAGAAACTTCATTTAGTGGCTGATTGAAGAAGAGGCAGACTCCCTCGGTTAAGTACTGAGCTGAACTCAAGAAAGCCAGTAACAGAGAGGGAGGACTGATGATCAAAGGGATTAAGACTGGGCTGGTTTAACCCCCAGAAACAGCTGACCAGACAAAGGTTAACTCTTGAATCCCAGGCATCAGCCTGGGAAGCCAGCATGGGACTGATCAAGACCCCCTGAATCTGGGTGTCTGTGAGGAGGCCTAGGTAATCTATTGAGCCTTGGGCAGCAGATCAGTACCCATCCCAAGTATACACACGGGCTTTGGACTCCCATAGAACAATGTGAGGTGCACTCTCACCCTGAACTCTTGGGGAAGGGTCTAGGCCCTGCCCTATATGAAATGACAGACTATGGACACCCCCATGGAGGGCCTCACCCTCCCTGGGGGAATGAGGGGATAACGGGGGGGGGGGGGGCACGGGAGGAGGGGAGGGAAAGGGAGAGGGACCTGGAACTGACTTGTGAAGCAGCCTTGTTTCTTATCTAAATTTAAACTGGAAAATAAAATAAAAATAAATAAATAAATAAAAATTCCAAATAGCTTTAAACAACGTGACATTTTCACACACACACACACACACACACACACACACACACACACACACACACTCACTTTCTGAAGCAACATTCCTCAGATGTCTCCAATAAATGGAAGCCAGCTATTTGATTTTCAGCATTTGGGAAAATGTAACTGCAGGAGCTGGAGACATTTCAGCAGCAAAGGAAGGCCTTGGGTAAGGGCAAAACAAATTACTCAGCCTGTGAGGAATGTACCCCGCTTCCCTGGGCCTCCCAGAAATCCACCATCTCTGAGCGGGCCTCTTCCAATGACCTGTCTGCCCTATGATAGCCGATCTACAGAAAAAGAAACTCAAAAGCCTTTTCATTCCCAGTGAGGATTG